ACATAATATCAGTCCATGAAATCATTGTTAGTTAAGGAGCAGTAATCGGGAAGATTAAGTGTAAGGATATTCACCAAATGTCCTACGAAAAATCATTTTGTAAGTGTAAATTCTATTGGTCGATTGCCATTGGTCAATCTTATTGGTCGTCCTGATCATCAATGTCACTTCAAATGTTGCTTCCTATTGGTCAAATTAACTGTCAATACCACAGACTTCAATGCTGTTTTTACTATTCGACCTAAATGTATAAATACGCATTATCTGTAACGTTTTATGACGCGGACATGGATCCCTAGTCCGGGATCCTGATTCTCTTCTGAACTCGAACCTAGTACTTTCTGGATATTTGCAGAATAAAGGTTCGACTTTATATCAAGTCTACGACTTTCACTCAATGGGTATTGGGAGACTCGAACTAGAGTAGCATATCGTGTCACCAGATCCTCGATCCTCGCTCTCGTTTACTGACTAAGATGAATTCGTAATAGTTCAAGCATTATCAAATGACATGTTTACGTACATTCGTAACATTAAGGTTCGAAGAAATCATTCACGAAGTACAATCCAGTGAAATAAACTTAGAAAGAGAAATATAACGGTGATAAGGTCAGTCAGTCAGTTAGTTGCAACATACAACTTCGTACGTAAGTACATCAGTTCATGTCGCAACACCACATAAGCACAGAGATGTAATTGTCATTTCAAATCCAATAGAAGAAGAGTTAGTAAGGGTATTAGAAGTAATCGGAGAGGTTAGGATGAGAAGATATTATTCAAGAAGTAGGATTAAGTGAGATAAGTTTAGAAAGTCAAAACTAGGGGTGTTGAAGAATCCAGAAGACTAGGATTTGAGAGAACACAAAGAATAAATGCACCGGCGCCATTGCGAACGATTTTGAGCCATGTAGTTCAAGGTCTCTAACCATCGATTATTATCATCTCGCGGACCCCAACCAGATAATCGACAATTACCGACATGGCTCAGTCCACTCGTCAATGACTTCATGGATTTCTGCCATGTTTTGGTTTGGCCGCCCCTAACTTTCTTCCAACCTATTCCTACACTACAAAACAAAGCTCGACGAGGCAGTCGGTGGTTCGGCATACGCAACACATGTCCTAACCACCTCAACTGATGAAGTTTCATTACTTCATCTATTGATCTGCCATTCTTACCTAGCTCACTCGGGTGTCACAGGATATACGAGTAATGCTTCGGAGACATCTATGATCGAAGACTAGTAACCTACGAATATCTTCTCTTAACGGCCATGTTTCACAGCCATAAAGTAAGACGAAGCGAACTACTGCACAGTACACTCGTCCTTTAGTCAGCAAACGGATATCTCGCCTACGCCATAAGTGACGCAGGTTGGCAAAAGCCAATCGAGCCTTCTGTATCCGAGCTGAGATTTCGTCAGTCACCAGGCCATCAGCACTGATGAGACTCCCAAGATAAGTGAAGCGGTCTACACGTTCGACTACTTCACTCCCTATCACTAGTTCCGGTGACAGTTCGCCATAAGCTCTCACTCGACCAGTGGTGTTTGAGTAGAGAGCTTGTATGAGGTTAATGTACTTCTTTGGTACACCTTTCAATGACAGACACTGCCACAGAACCTCACGATCAACAGCGTCAGATGCCGGTTTTAGGTCCAGGCAAACAACTATTGTAGAACGCCTAAATGTGTGTCTGTGTTCCAGGACCTATACAGCCACGTCCAGGTCGAAAACTAGATTGGTTTTCTCGAGTTTGCTCTTCACGAGCTTTCGTTAAGCGTCGAAGTATTACTGAGGCCATTATTTTAGATATCATATTAGTTAGACTTATTCGCCTGTGATTGTCACAAGAAGAAACGGTGATAAGGAATTCAGAAGACTAGAATTTGAGAGAACACAAATAATGGATACACCATCAGCCATTGAAAATGATTTTAGGCCATGTCATTCAAAGTATCTAACCGCTGGTTTACTATTGTCCCACCGACCTCAACCAAGTGTAAGTAACTTCGTGAATTTGTGCCATGTTTTGGTCTGGCCGCCCCTAACTTTCTTCCAGGGATCATCACTCGACGAGGCAGTTGGGCATACGTAACACATGTCCTAATCACATCAATTGATCTGCCATCTTTACCTAATACCCTTTTCCTAACAACACCTTTACTTATATAATATAACACTTACTCGAATATGTTGTGCACTAGTAAACATTGAAGTGATCAATGCTTGTTCTAAACTTTGTTGCATATTATAAATAAATGAATCTTGATATTGTTTAGCATGTGACACATACATTTGTTTTAATCGTTGATATTTTATGGAATGATCACGTGAAATTTGTTCTTTCCTAGGAAGACGTTGTTGTCGTTGGTGCTGCTGGAGCTGCTGCTGTTGATGAGGAGAAGAAGGAGGAGAAGTGAAATAAAAGAAAGAACTCGAACGATTACGATTGATAATTTTATCGTTAGGATTTGATTGTTTGGAATCAGCTCGAAAACTTCGCACTTTTACAAGAGTAGTCGGAGTTGTAGATGGTGTTTCATGTTTATGCGCTGATGCATTCAAGCATTCAATTAGGATTTGTTTCAGTTTATCATCTCGATAAGCTAAAAGACATGAAAAGAGAGAGAGTGTGTGAGAGAGAAATGTGTTATTTGCTTAGGGTTGTACTTCAAAAACATAGTATTGATTGATTTGAATAGAGAAATAAGAAGACATATTTTGTGAGATAGTACCATTTTGTGCTTTCTCGTCAGTCACATACAAGCAACATGTTATTCGTGTGTAAATACAGCAGTTTTGAAGATAAGGTCAAAATTTCTTATTTAGCATGACATTCACTCACTAGAACCATGGTAAGTAAACAAAGGTCGACATACAGTTGTTTTTGTACACATAAAGTTGGACTTTTCCGACCAATCAAGATAGCTTCGATTAGTTTCAGTGTGTGTGTGGGTTTCGATGACATGTCACAACTTTAAAGGCTGATTTTGGGTCAATTTGATGACCACTCATCATTAGATGTTTTGCAATGGACGAGGCTGGGTTTCTTGATCGATCTTGAGCTACCTGGCTAGGTGGATGAATCATGGATTTGATTACCAATTTTGGAATATGTTCCCCTATCCTGTCTTCCAATCGGCGATCTGTTCTCCCTAAGTAACTTTCTCCACAGTTACATGTGAATTGGTAAATACAGTGGGATTTGGACTGAATCGGTCTTGGAGACTTGATTGGGGTAATTGAGATCGATTGAGTTGTTGTGATAAGCCTCAGTTTAGCTGCATTGAAGGTATTTTTCATTGCAGCTGCAGTCTGTTTAGTTGTAATTTTCATGCAATGATCACCCTTGAAAGGTAACTGATGGTACACTGGTTTCTTGGGTACATCAGTTGTTCTCAGCTTCGTCGTAGTTGTGTTCTGATGACCAATAAACGTTTCGAGATATCCGTTTGATTTAAGTGTCTCAGTAATAAGCTTGAATTCGTCGTTCAATGTATCAGCAGTGCAGATTCTACTTGCGAAATCTTCAAAACTGTATTTATACAAATAACATGTTGCTTGTATGTGACTGACGAGAAAGCACGAAATGGTACTATCTCACAAAATATGTCTTCTCATTGCTCTATTCAAATAGTATTGATTAGTCAAAGGTTTTGGTACGAGTATAAAGACATAACAAGAAGATTAGCTGATACGTAATTGATTGTTAATGTCAGTTGCTGCCTCAGTACTACCGAGTGAGGGGGGGTAGAGTTCACTCTCTTCATAGAAATGCTCTGATTTGGTCATACGAATAAAGTCACTGACAAGGAAGTCCTTTTGTGTGACAAGGATATTGTTCAAACTGAAGAAAAACGAATGTCCCGCCACACTGTAAAACCCGGGTTTGTGTGTACGAAGAATGCGGCCTAGGAAAGGTGGAAAAGCCTAATTCCATACTAATAGTACACATGGTCTCCAGGACCTTGATGGATCGAATGAAACACTATACAATAAGTTTCAAAAGTAATTTCAAGTTGAATAAAATAATAATTTCACTGAAATCACGAATCGACCTGTGGTAGACTGCCATTAAGATCCCTCAACACTGGAGGCCCAATTTCTCCCAGCATAAGATTCATCAACAGTGTGCATGAAAGATCCCCGCACACAGAAATCAAACCCAATAACTTCACCCTGTTGACTACTGAGTCGGCATCAATCAGTATTAATATCGAACTATGATCAATGCATGTTACTACTGAGCGACCTCATCCTTGGTCTTCAGTGGACAAGTGTCTCAATAGTGACTAGCTTTATGAAGAAATTCTCGGGGAATTAAGAGAGCAGCCATGACCAGTGAATTTCAACCGTGTCGAATATCTAATGCCATCTAGTGATTCTAGGTTTCTTATGGTAGTAGTCTAGCATTGATCGATGCATGATTTCAATGAAATTCAACAAAATCTTTTACTCATACTACTAACAAAAAATAAGTAGATAATAAAAAAATCATGAAAAAAAGGAACTAACTATTTTTAACAACTAATCACAGATTCATATAATTTAACATACGTGAATAGTTGAATACATTTACTGTACAATTTAAAATCCATGTTAAATGGTCATAATGTAATTTTAATTTTTCACAAAGATTTCGAATATTTTCATTTTCTGCACTGATTTGTAATTCATCATCTGTAGAGAGAGAGAGAGAGTGATTAAATAAAGAGAAATATTGAAGTATATTGAAGAGATACGATGAACAAAATTACTTTAAGTCACCAACTATAAACTAGAAAGTATTGAAGGATTTGTGTAAAAGTTGTTAGGGTTTCTGACAAATTCAATCAAGGAAATGATCTAAGCATTTTGTTCTGTCAAGGGGGGGGTTGGTTTTCCAGCAGTGTGTGTATTCTCGACTTAGTAGCATCCATGAGTTAGACAAAGAGTCCGTTTAAATTATGAGAATTCTAAGGTTTCCACAAACCTCTCTCCCCAAAGCAACACTAATAATAATGAACATTAGTGAATGGCTCCCAGATGTACCTTTTACAAGTTCTAGTGAGTTCTAGTCAGATGTTCACACACGAGACTGAAGGTTCTGGGTTTGTTTCTAGAGTGCACATTGCTGAGGACCAGTTCTTACAGATTTCCAATGACGATTAGGGTTTATGTCAATTTGTTACTTAAACTATGCATTACGTGGTGACTAGGTTGGTGTAAAAATATTTTTCATTTACATTAGTCAAACATCGCCTGAAGCCCCTCTGAGGCTACTACTGCCGGTCATGCGTACGACCGCTTAACCTCTAGACCACTGAGCCGGTATCTAACGGTGCTGATATATATAACTTTGGTCAATCTAAGATTTTGCGCAAATTCACTCGCTATCTTCAGGGGAGGCACCTGCATACACATGACAAGGTTGAACTGCATTGATCACAGCTTCTCACTAGAATTCTGAGAATTGCCTAACGAAGCTTGTCACTAGTGAGTACATTTTATGATACTTATGCGTAGATTGTTGTTTTCAATTGAAATCAACGATGAGGTTGTACAAAAGAATTAGACCGATTAAAATTGAACATCAGCACTGTCAACGGTCTAGAGATTAAAACATTCATGTGTGGGATTGAAAACCGCAAGCGAGGTCGTAGATGCGCACTACTAAAGACGACCGTCACATTTTATAGTCGGTGTCGACTAGAATAAAGATAATAATAGTAAAAGGAATATACTTACCTTTTTCTTCACTTGTTTGTTGTTGTTGTTGTTGTTGACTAAACGTTACAGATTTATCAAGTTCTTGTGCAATACGATCCAATTGACTAGTTGATGTCTCTAATAGACTATGCAAAACTCGACGAACAAGACATCGACTAACTGGACCTGGATTAAGTGATACTCCTAACAGTTGGGAAATCAGAGAAAAAAAAATTAATTTTCCCTAATAATAATAATAACAATAAGACACAATTCAGTTTATTGGAATAAACAACTTTTTCTAAAACTTTCCTAATGAATATGATGTTCAATGTTCACGTTCTCTTAAACTCTAATCTTCTAAAATTCCTAATCACCTTTCTCTTACTCTTTCAAAAATTTATTTCATTGGCTTATACTACATGGATAATATCTTCAAACTCTAATACTCTAATCTTCTATATTACTGCTAATACTTTTGCCTACATTTGCCACTATGGGATTTGAATTGACAATTGCATCTCTCTGTGCTAATATGGTATGGTAACTTGAACTGATGTACTTACATGCGAAGTCATACGTTATAGCTGTGGCCATAAAATATCAAAGTCAGTCAGAAAGTGACAACGTAGAACTTTGTATATACGTACGTACATCATTTCAAGTTGCCATACCATATTAGCACACAGGCGCATTTGTCAATTCAAATCCTATAGTGTTACGCATGCACGTAAACACGTCAACTTGATATTCTAGAACTATTACGAGTATACCTTAGTCGTTAAACAAGAGCGAGGATCGAGGACCAGGAGACACGACACGATACTCTAATCCGAGTGTCCCAATACCCAGCGAGCGAAAGAAGAGGACTTGATATGAAGTAGAACCTGTGTTCTACAAACATCTAGAAAGTACGAGACCCGAGGTCCAGAAGAGAATCAAGATCCCTGACTAATGATCCGGGTCCGGGTTATAAAACGTTACACATAATACGTATTTATATAGTTAGGTAGAATAGGAAACAACATTGAAGTCTGTGACATTGACAATTAGGACGACCATAATACTAACCAGTAGTAATTGACCAACAGAATTACTTACTTACTTACTTACGCCTGTTACCCCCAATGGAGCATAGGACGCCCACCAGTTTTCTCCAACCAACTCTGTCCTGGGCATCCCTCTCCACTTCTGTCCAATGTTTGTTCACTCCTCTCATATCTTTCTCTATTTCTCGGCGTAATGTATTCTTTGGCCTTCCTCTTTTCCTTTTGCCTTCAGGGTTCCATGTGAGGGCTTATCTCGTGACGCAGTTAGGTGCTTTCCACACTGTGTGTCCTATCCACTTCCACCGGTTATTCCTGATTTCCTCCTCCACTGGAATCCGGTTTGTTCTCTCCCACAGTTCGTTGTTGCTGATCGTGTCTGGCCAACGAATACGAAGTATTTTGCGTAGACAACTGTTAATAAATACTTGTATCTTCTGGATGATGGCTTTGGTAGTTCTCCATGTTTCCGCTCCATACAGTAGAACTGTCTTGACATTTGTATTGAAAGGTCTGATTTTGGTTTTGGTTGAAAGTTGTTTAGAGTTGCAGATATTTTTCAACTGTAGAAATGCAGCCCTCGCTTTGCCAATCCGCGCCCTCACATCTGCATCGGATCCACCTTTCTCGTCGATGATGCTGCCAAGATATGTAAAGTTGTTAACTTCCTCCAAGGCATCTCCGTCAAGAGTGATTTGGTTGGTGCATGTTGCGTCGCATCGGAGAATTTTGCTTTTTCCTTTATGTATGTTGAGACCTACTGCTGCAGAGGCTGCTGCTACACTGGTCGTCTTCTCTTGCATTTGTTGTTGAGTGTGCGATAGAAGAGCCAAGTCATCTGCGAAGTCCAGATCGTGACCAATAGAATTAGACTACCGAAAATAATTCTCTTAGGATATTTGATAAATATCTTAACACATAGTAGTAGAGGTATTATACGTATTAGCAGTAATCATTTGAGGTGTATACCCCGGGGGAGGAATCGATTCACCAAAAAAGAGACGAATTAGAGTTGTGAACGAAGACAATCAATAACCTGATTGCATTGCTAATGGATATTTGAAGACCCATTTGTGCCATGTTTCGGATTGGCCGTCTCTGACTCTCTTCCAACGTACTCCTACATCACAAAACATCACACACCTATCTAGGCAGTCGATGGTTAGGCATACATGACCCACACATGTCCCAACCACTTCAACTGATGAAGTTCCCATACTTCATCTACTGATCTGTCATCATTACTTAGTACTCGTTTCCTAACAACAGCATTGCTTACTCAATGGTACCACGATATACGATCAACGTATCGGAGATACCAATGGTCGAAAACCAATAACGTACAAATAGAGTCAAGCATATTGGTCACTTCTTTTGCGGTGCTGTGGTGCGAGCTACTTATAAGTAGTATATGACGTGAGTGTCAACGTAATGTGTGGCAGCATAATATGGGGGAAGATCAAGAAATGAAGAGTTAGAAGAACAGAATGGAATTTGTGTGAAACGCATGAACAGTGACATTGGATTGATGTTTTGCAACAGGAACAGTCCAGTTCGATAGGATGAACTGTTATTTTGCAAATGAACAATTTACGATATGGTTTTCCGACTTTACTGAGTAACTCTGTAATTTTCGTTAAATACAATTCGGTTGCCCCCCCTGTGTTCTCTTCACTACACTTTCTCAACTTACCTCCTAACTCACTGTTCACAGTAACAGAACCATCATCATCATCAGCAGCAGCATCATCATTATCGGCATCCTTCTCATGCTTGAATTCTGCATTCATTGTTATTAAATATTGCAGAAACATAATCACCGATTGAAATCGTGATGCAGTGTTGTTCAACGAAAAAGCAAATTTTTCATCAATCATTAACCAACTCATTACACGACTAGTTAAACGACTTAAACTAGTTAATATTGGCATTAACAGTGATGGAATGGCATACGGTTGTTTTTCAGCCTTGTTTGTCACCGACAATGAATTCGTTTGATGAATACCAAATTCTAATAACCATGCCATATTGAATAGAACTGGTAGAAGATTCGATTGGATAGCAGCACTTAGTACACAAGGATCGGAATCCTGAAATGTGAAGAAACAAAAAATAATATCCATATCCAAACATAGAATAGAATCAAAATAAAGAAGGTTGATTTTGATCAATTTGATCTCGTGTGCTGTTACCGATATGAGGGCGGTTATCAGTTCCCGACTGCCAACAACACCGTGGAAGGTTGTTTCTTGTGGGAATCTGAAAAGGAAGATAGATTACTGTTGGTCTTAACGACCTGGGAGAGTGATTGCAAAGCAGCATCGCTGCAGATACTGGTTGTCCGAGGGAAACACCTCACTGCTGCTGTCACACGCCTCTGCAGTCAGCAGTACGATTTAGCCCTCAGACCTTGAGTAGTTGCTTTTAGTCTCATCGTTCTCCAATCGACCTGCTTGGCATGGTAGAACCGACAAGAAGATTTTCTGTTACAAACTGATGTAATATAAGTTTGTTCAAAAACAATTAATTGAGAATCCAGATATTGTGGTTAGATTTTTCAAAACTAAGAAACATTACCACTGATTATCCACGGAATTCGGAGGATTGATAGGCGATTGATTGTCATGATTATAGTGAAGGCTGAAGAGTCCATTCACATGCTCAAATCAAAATAGACTGTCGTTGTTTTACGGATTAGTCATGGAGCGTTTAACCTAAGGATCTGATCTGTAAAAATTGGAGTAATGTAAGAAGATGGAGTTTTTCTAGGAGAGCCATTCTTCGAGCTTTTGGTTACAGGTCTAACCAACAAAACAAGGGATCAATGTAAGGAGATGAGACCGAATGGTAGCCAGCGACTGACCATGAAGCCCATGTGCACCACTGATTTGGAGTTGAGAGTTTTTCTCAACTTCCTTAGATGGATGGATTCTCCATGCCCACCAAACAGGTTAAGGCTGTGACTGGACATTCGGTTCTCTTCCTTTCAATTTCGTAAACAACACTCCTGACACAATAAAGCATTGAATAGTACATCTGTGATAGTTTCTATACATACATGACCATATCAGTGTATTTCCATGGAAAGAACTCAATCTCCCCAGTTTCGGGTGCATCAGAGCATGCACAGACGCAGCTATAAATAAATTACTGAGTGAATATAAATGCGTATATATATGAAGCTTATAAATTATGCTTTTAAATTATATAACAACAATCGACCTATTGAGGAATGGAAGCTTCGTAGTGAGTGCCGCTATGTCTAGTTCACAGGGCTTGGTCCACTTGTCTGTTGACCTTGTCAGTCATTTGTTCATATCTGCATTGCTTTTATTTGTGTGTGTGCTCGCCTATCTCTCGCTTATTACATGTCTGGCTTATTTCTGTCTGACTATAAATTCTTAGTCATTCTTTATCGAACTGAGTTGGCTCCCTCACCTTCTCCACTTTAATTCACTTCACTTGTATGTTTTTCGTTCTTATGTCCATCTGTTTGAATGACTGCCTGAAATAAACTTATCCAACGGAATTCGTATCTGGTTTCTTATAACCGCCGTCGCACAACTAGGGTTCGCCTAAGTATAATATAAGGAATCTGATGAGGGGGTAGATTGATTTCACAGCATATTTAGATGTTCATAAATATTGGTTCGCGGGCCACCAAAGTAGTAAGCCCTACATCAACTCAAATCCCTCTACAGGCTTATTCAACTCCACCGGGGAGCCCCTCTAACGCTACCTCCAGTCACGAATCCGGATACAGGAGAAGTGTTATGCTTGAGCTTAGCGACGACCCTATCCCGTAGAAAACTAACTCGCAGCAAAAAAACCCTAACCATAATATATCATTTCAACCATTTTAACACTGCTCTAGCAATTAAAAAGTCTTCATTTAGAAGAGTTACCATGTCTCATGATGAAAACCAAGTTTCTTCAGAAAACGAATAATCCCGACCGTAGCTGCTACCTTGACGTAGTCGTCGAGCTTGACTATCGTGATCATCCAAACGAGCTTTACTGGCTGGAACATATGTTCCTGAAGGTTCTCTACCATGCCAAGCAGGTCGACTGGAGAGCGATGAGACTAAAAGCAGCTATCCAAGGTCTGAGGGCGAAGTCGTAGTATTGCTGATTGCAGACGGGTGTGACAGCTGAAAAGGTGTTTCCCTCGGACAACCAGCATCTGAAGCGATGCTACCTTCTCACAGGGAAGGAAGGAAGGGTTCGAAAGGATCCACAAAATTTGGAGTATTGATAGGCGATTATAGTGAAGGCTGAAGAACCATTCACATGCTCAAATCAAAATAGACTATCTTTGTTTTACGGATTAGTCATGGAGCGTTTAACCTAAGCATCTGATCTGTAAAAACGTAAACCATTTAAACTCTGCTCGGGGAGTTAAGTCTTCATTTAGAAGGGTTACCATGTCTCATGATGAAAACCGAGTTTCTTCGGAAAACGCAAGGCCGATGCCTCTTCTGACGACAATCACAGAAACCATTAAATTTAGGTACACATGAGAATATGTTCGTACAATGTGGAAGACCGAGAATGTCAACCGATTTGTTGCAGAAATGAAAAGTGCTTGGAATCATAGGAAAAACACATTGGATGACAGGTTGGACCATAAACAACACAACTAATGACTGACCATTCAGCGCAAGCTGTAATCAAATCAATTTGTAGTGTGCCGATTTACTGCGTATTATTCTTAAGCTCGGGGGTCATTAGCTCGTCTAGACGATCGTTACTACTAATTAGCGGCGTCTGACGGTTTATAAATCAGAAGGTGAAATCGTAGTGTTGAATACGTTTATTTGGGACACACCACCAAAGCGAAGCGGGGAGAAGCAGTGAATAAAACGAATGAAGCACTGTGAATTGAAGAAGGCTGTTGAGCCAACACCACTCCCAGAATTACAATGTAAACGAATGGGCGGAGGAGGAGATGTGGAGAAGGCTAATGAGTCAACTCAAAGAGATAGAGCGTGACTAAGAATATATAGTCAGACAAATATAAGACAGAAATGCGACAAGCGAAATAGGCACACATGAATAAAAGCGACAAATCGTTGACAAAGTCAAATGACAATTGGGACACGTCATGTGAGCGAGCTCATACAAACCAAACAATAATAAGAACGAATGGTACATACAGATTGTTGCTCTCAATACAAATGGCTTGGCCAAGTAAATTAATCGAAAGGGCTTAGCCAAATTAATTGTAAGCGAACTGGAATATAATATGTATGAAGGCACTACAAATTCATAAAACAAACTAACCTGTAATAGATGAATTAAAGCATCCAATCCATAAATGCATAAATCAATTTCTGGTGTACCATTTTCATTAACGTCATCCTTATTGATTGTAGTAGAAGCGGCAGAAGCAGAAGAATCTTTCGACTTGGCCGATTTTTGTTTAAATTGTGAATTAACACGATTCGGTTGTTTTATTTGAACAATACAACTCATGATTGCATCGATAAAACTACCCAGTAAAGTTGAAAATAACACTGGAAATGTTGATAACAGGTAGTATTGATGATAACTTGTATTTTTACAATGATGATGATGATCATCAGATTTATTATTATTAGTGGTTGGCAATTGGTTAGATTTGATCATGTGAACATTTGAATTAGGATTCTTCACATTATCGGTGATTTGTTCAAATTCAACAGGACGATGATGATGATGATGATGACAGCAGTAAGCTGTGTCAGAGATGAATCCAATGCCATTGAATGGTAAAGAATCTATTGGACAAGTAGTGTTCTATATATGGTTATAAGTAGACCGAAACAAACAAAAAATAATGAGCATTTTGTATCAAATCGGCAGACAGACAGACAGATAGACAGATACAACACAGAACTTCGTACATAAGTACATCAGTTCAGGTTGCCTGCTATACCACATTAGCACACAGAGACGTAACTGTCAGTTCAAATCCAAGAATGATAGTGATAGTAGAAGTATTAGCAGTAGTAATGGAGAAGTTTAGGGAGCGAAGATATGATTCGAAAAGTATAATTCAGTGAGATAAATTTAGTAAGCGAAAGATAGGGGTGATGAGGAATTCAGAAGGTTAGAATTAAAAAGCACACAATGAGTGGATGCACATGCGCCATTGCAAACGATTTTGAGATATGTCGTTCAACGTCTCTAACCATTAGTGACTTTTGTCTCGCGGACACCAACCAGTTAGCCTACATCTACCAACATGAGTCAGTCCACTTGTCAGTAACTACATGCATTTGTGTCATGTTTTGGTTTGGCCGCCACTAGCTTTCTTCCAATCTACTCCTACACTGCAAAACATAGCTTATCGAGGCAGTCGGTGGTTAGGCATACGTAACACATGTACTTTTGCATCAAATGATCGATAAAAATGACTAACAATACATATTGTATTTAGATTGATTGAACACAGTTGGATGTCACCGGCTCAGCGTCGGTGCACTTAGAACCAATGGTCTTGTGTTCGATTCCCGCGGGCAGGGCTCGTGGATGCGCACTGTTGAAGAATAATCCCACAATAGAACGGAACGCCTGTCCAATGCTTATAGATTTCTAAAAGTGGTGGCTTAACAATGATTTATTCATGATTTCAAGGAAAATATGTAAAAATATAAATGAAATGACAATACATATGAGGCTATTTTAAATAGTAGCAACATTTGTAACATGAAAAAATTAACTGAAGTTGATAATGTACAACAGTACATGCGAACGCTATGGTTTAAAAGAAACTACACCTGAGTCGAGATGGAAGGAAGGAATCATGGCTGCACAACTATAAGGAGTCCCATGCTAGTATGAAGCACCTTTAGAGCGAACTCGAGCATTCAGTAGTACTCTAGGAAAATTCAGTTATTGGTAGTAGTAGAATTTAACCTTGTCAAATGAAGGCAGTTACCTACCGAAGACAATGGATGGGGTTGATTAAAGCTAGATATTGAAGTCACGAATCGATTGATTGTTAAACCACCATTAGAATCCTGGAAGACGGCTATTTCATTCTGGTATGAGAATCATCAGCAGTGCGCATCCAAGACTCCTGCGACTGGCAAGATTCAAAACCCACGACCTTCGGTTATTGCAAGCGACCGCCTAACCTGTGGACCACTGTGTTAATGTTTAACTTCGATCAATTCACGGCCTTGCGCAACTTCATACACCGTCTTCAGTAGTTACTGTCTACAATCCGAACAGGTTGTGAACTCCACTGATCACGACTTCTCATTAGAACTCAGAGAATATTCCCCTCATGGATCGACGTTAGACATCAACACCATCGGGTGCCGACTCAGTGATCCACAGGATAAGCGTTCGCCCGTTAAACCATAAGTCCTAGGTTCGAATCGTGCAAGTGGCAGGAGTTGTGGATGTGCACTGCTAATGAGTCGCATACAAGGACGAAACGGCCGTCATTCAGTGCTTCCAGGTTTCTAATAGTGTTCGAACATTGATCGATCTTATAAAATTCAATGCGTAACTTAACAATCCCCATAAAGTTAGACACTAACACAGCTGTGTTGGTTCGATTCCCCGCGTGCAAGCTTCGTTGATGTGCACTGATGATGATGATGATGACTAGTCTCATACAACGACAAAACAGCTTTCCCAAACAATCTATGAACAAAATCTTTCAAAAATCAATAAATACCATGATGAAACAATTGACTAGTAGACATTTGTTTTTTCGAATAATAAATCAAAAACGAAAAACCAATCAGTTCAATCAGTTCAATTGATTCAATGATGATAAATTTACCATTTGACATTTGTCCAATAATCCATCATGTAGCAAAATTAAACCAAATGAACGTGTTAATAATTTCATAGAACATAAATGACGATTATGATAAATTGTAGATTGATTGATTGTGGATTGATTGGAATTGGTTAATTGATCAAATGATGATAGCAATGTACTACTCGTTGTAGCTGGTACTAATAGACCACTAGCAAATGTACGAATTCTTGATAATTGAAATGGAAATGGCCATGATGATGATGATGATGATGATGACGTGTGTTTATACGATTGTACAGTAGTTGAAGGGGACTGATGAGGATGATGGTAATTAGAGTGTTGTTTTGAAGAATGCGAATGGATAGGTTGAGAAAGATTGGTTGTGAATTGTTTAAATTTTTTCGTCCATTTATTCGTTGCAATATGTAACCAAATAGAATAACCGCTTAGAGCCTAAAATGAGAAGATAAAATAAAAATAGTAATCAGTGACTATTAGATAGATATAAATAAATCCGCCTGAAGCCTCTCTGCGGCTACTGACGATCCTAAGCCTGAAGATAAAGGTGAGTTGGGAATGAGGTTAGGGGAAGACAGACAGAATGACAAACAGACAGATAAAACACAGAACTTCGTACATACGTATAACAGTGCATGTTGCCATACTGCATTAGCACAGAGACGCAACTATCAGTTCAAATGCAATAGTGATGTGGTGGTGTGGTGCGAGCTACTTATAAGTAGTATATGACGTGAGCGTCAACGTAATGTCTGGCAGACGAAGATGGGGAGAGATCAAGAAAGGAAGAGTTAGAAAACAATGGAATTTGTATGAAACGCATGAACAGTGAGTGACAATGGATTGATGTTTTGCAACAGGAACAGTCCAGTTCGATATGATGAACTGTTATTTTGCAAATGAACGATTTACGATATGGTTTTTCAATTTTACTGAGTAATTCTGTAATTTTTCGTAAAATGCAATTCGGTTGCCCCACCTGTGTTCTCTTTCACTACATTTGGTGTCGCTGCCTACGCAAAGGATGAAGATTCCATGGCCGAAGGAGTTTGATGATGGAGATGTGCGGAGCTTCCTGAAGGAGTTTGAGGCCGTGGCGGAGCTGGTGGGGGTGAAGGAACCGAAGGCGAAGTTGGTGGTGCTGGGGACGCTGCTGAGAGGAAGGGCGAAGGCCGTATATGACAGCTTGAACGGTGCTGGCGGGAAGACGCCATGGGAGACGGTCACTGAGCGGCTGATGGTCGAGTTCGACAGCCCGGTGGACAGGGAGGAGAAGTTGCGGAAGTTCCAATTGGCGAGGCTGTCGGCTGATGGTGACCCGCTGGTGCTTACTGTGGAGCTGACAAGGTTGCTGCGCCGTGCGTTGCCGAACATCGATGAGGAGTCGGAGGCACAATTGTTGGCGTCGCAATTTATTGAGTGTGCCTGCCGCCGTGTCCCAGCAGTTGAGATTAGTAAATGCAGCACAACCTATGGACGTCGGTGAACTGGCGAAGGTGACTCGTCACCTGATGACACGAACAATAGCTCCGGTCGGGTGCGAAAAGCAGGAGATAAATACTTTCGAGAAGAAGATTGGGGAGTTAGAGCGTGAGATAGCAGCATTACGAGTAAATCATAAAAGGAACGATAAATGTTACGCTTGTGGAGAGGCAAGACATTGGAAGATAAACTTTACAAGAAGACATTACGTTGACGCTCACGTCATATACTACTTATAGGTAGCTCGCACCACAGCAACACAGTGGTAGCGATAGTAGAAGTATTAGTAGTAATGGAGAAGATTTGGGTATAATTCAGTGAGATAAAGTTAGAAAGAGAAAAACAGAGATGATGAAGAATTCAGAAGATTAGGATTTGAGAGAACATAAAGAGTGGAGTCGCCTGAGCCATGTCGTTCAAGCTGTCTAACCATCGGTGACTTTCGTCTCGCGGACCCGAATCGGATAGCCTACATCTACTAACATGACTCAGTCCACTTGTCAGTGACTTGATGGATTCCTGCCATGTTTTGGTATGGCTGCCCCTAACTTTCTTCCAACCTACTCCTACACTACAAAACAAAGCTCGTCGAGACAATCGGTGATTAGGCATACGTACCATATATCCTAACCACTTTAACTGATGAAGCTTTATTACTTCATTTATTGCTTTGCCATCTCTATCTAGTACTCGTTAGCGGCGACCCTATAGCGTAGAAAACCAACTGGCTAAAAAAAACGCTCACCACAAAAAAATCATTCGAACCATTTAAATTCTGTCCTAGGAGTTAGAAAGTCTTCATTTAGAAGAGTTATGACATTGAGGAAAGTACGCAACCGCATCACAAGACAAACTTTCAATTGGAATCTTCAAGGTCAAAGCAATAGTGACGGGGGTCAAGGAACGCACTACCCCAAGAAATGGAGACAAACATGGGAAGAATGAACATAACAGTTGGATAGAACTAGAAAGGAAGGCTCAAGACATTGTAAGTTGGAGAACACTTGTCAGTAGCCTATGCTCTGTTAGGGGTAACAGGCCAAAGTAAGAATTATATAAATATTTATATATATTACACATGATCTAAGCTCACTGGACTGGTAGGAGGGATCGAGTTGATTCATAAGTGACGAACGGGGGCCACTGCTCCTGTGCGTGCTGTTTAAATGTCTGACTTGTCTGCATGACAATCTAGACAACATGTGCGTCCCCGTATGGGGAAGGGGTGATCACAAAACGGCAATTGTGAGAATCCTTGAGTTACATAAAAAGCAGCCGCGTTCATGTGAATATATTTATATATTTGTAAAATGTGGCACCGAAACATTTATTCATTATCCAATATAATGAATCTGTCAGTGGGCTGGGATGCTGTCCGGATATCCAAACCACTTTTCGAGCTTTTCACCTACAGATCTAATCCACAAGACTGTGGAGATACGTCAAGATATGAAGTCCGATGATAGCCGGTGACCAACAGCAAGTTCATATATCATTTGTTCCATCAAGTTTCTGGAGACCATAAATTTGAAATTAGGGTTTTCCAACTTCCCTTGATGAATCCTCCATATTCACTAACATAATTTAACGCAGCAGACATACAATTTTTATCTACTTAATTTGATTAACATCTCTGCCATTAGAAGGCATAGAGTAGAACACGTCACCGGCAGTGACTACATACACATGTTCGCAAGAGATATTTTGAGCGGAAGAACGAATCATTCTCACTTTCAACTAAATCAAAGCTTTCAGGGATAGATACATAAAGTGTACGGTGACTTAGTTGTCAGAAAAATGAATATTTCATTTTTGATGCGTTGCATAGGTCTGCTGTTTATCTACCACCTGAATAGCATTTAAGCCGATTATACATTCGTTCTACCACTCCACTCCTAGTGTACGGACGTTCATATATATATACAACTTTATAAGGTCAGTAATGTAGGTCGATTGAAGTACGGTATAACTAAAAGCAGCAACTCAAAGTCTGTGGGCGAAGTTGTACTGCTGACTGTAGAGAGGTATTACAGCAGTCAGGTGTTTCCCTTAGACAAACAGCTTCTGCAGCGATGCTGCCTTCTCACAAGGAAAGAAGGGGTTAGAAAAGGTCGACCCCGAAAATGTCACATTACAAATTACCTCACTGATTTCCGTCTCCGTCGGCAAGGGCTTTTAAACAAGAGCGGAGATAACACTTTAAAACCTTTTCATAAAAAGACCGTGCGTGACCGGCCACAAGCATTTGTCGCTTTTGCTCTGCGGTCACGGTCCTTCATGTCTCTAAGACCAACACTAATCCAATGACGTTTTCATATTCCTCAAGAAACATTCTTTCACGGTGTGAGCGTCCGGGAATTGATATCCGCACGTTATCAAACTAGTCAGATTCAAATACCCCTACCCTTGCATTTTAGCAGCCGTTTAACCTCCATGAACATACAAAAAACATTTTCAGTTAGATGTTTGGAAATTTTTGTTTTTACACATTTGAAATCATTAATCAATCATTGTTAAACAGACCATCATTAGAAACCTGGAAGCACTGAAAGACAGCCGTTTCGTCCTGGTATGGGACTCATCAGTGGCAGTGCGCATCCTCGACTCCTGCACCTCACCGGGCTCGAACCCGGGACCTTCGGTATTGTGCGCGAATGCCTAACCATCGGACCACTGAGCCAGTATCCAACGGTTGATTGATTTACGGATTTTGCGCGACCTCAACCATTTGCCTTTCGTAGTTACTACCATACCAGTACCAAAACGGCCGTCTTTCAGTGCTTCCAGGTTTCTAATGATGGTCTGTTTAACAATGATTGATTGATGATTTCATTTATGTGTGTAAAAAATCTCATACAAAAACTGAATAACCATAGTCTGACAAAAAAAAACATTTCATTTCTTCCCTAAAATTAAAAATCCAATTACTTACAGTTTCACGTTGTACTAAATAAGGATGTCGTATTAAACTATTAATCAGCCATAATGGTGGTCGGATAGCATTACAACACGTGGATGTTATCCATGCATAATGTGAACTTGATTTTAATCTGTACCAATCCCAATGATTGTTTTTTAGAAAAATATTCACTTTATTTTCAATGTGATCAATGTTGCATTGAACATGAGTTGTTTTCGTTAATTTGTTTAAATTGTGTTTAATTTTAATTTTCATTTTATTTTGAAAATAGAATTCGGTTAAATGTTCAATTGGAAAATGTTTATGCCATAATTGATCTAAACATCGAATTAAATATTCTGAAAAGATATTATTTTGTTCAATGTGTAATTGAACACAATTTAAAATATATTTATTAGTAGTATAATCTGTTTCAATGAGATTGTTGGTTCCAGTCAATTGATTATCTGTAATGTGAAATGAAATGAAAGAAAGAATAGGAACAAAAACTGATTAGTAGTAGTAGTGTGGTGCTGTGGTGCGAACTACTTATAAGTAGTATATGACGTGAGTGTCAACGTAATGTCTAGTAGCATAATATGGGGGGAAGATCAATAAAGGAAGAGTTAGAAAACAATGGAATTTGTATGAAACGCATGAATAGTAGTGACAATGGATTGATGTTTGGCAACAGAAACAGTCCAGTTCGATGTGATGAACTGATATTTTGCAAATGAACGATTTACGATATGGTGTTCCGATTTTACTGAGTAACTCTGTAATTTTCGTTAAACACAATTCGGTTGCCCCACCTGTGTACTCATTCACTACAGTAGGATGAGAAAATTATTCAAATAGCATATGAAAAAATAGAAGAGAAACAACTTGTACAATATTAAATTGAAATGGAAACATTGAACACTGATCAGTGTTGAATCATCATCATAAGAAAGCTGAAAGCATTGGATGACAGATAGACAGATACAACACAGAACTTCGTACGTAAGTATATCAGTTCAGGTTGCCATATCACATCAGCACAGAGACACAACTGACAGTTCAAATCCAACAGTGATAGTGATAGTAGAACTATTAGTAGTAATGGAGATGATTAAGGTTTAAGATATGATGATTCGAGAAGTATAATTCAGTGAGATAAATTTAGAAGGAGAAAGATAGAGTTTATGAGCAATGCAGAAGCTTAGAATTTCATAGAACACAAAGAGTGGATGCACCTGAGCCACTGCAAACTATTCTGAGCAATGTCAATCAAGGTCTCTAACCATTGGTGACTTTCGTCTCGCGGACCCCAACCACGTAGTCTGCATCTACCAATCTGACTCAGTCCACTTGTCAGTGACTTTATGGATTTGTACCATGATATAAAAGAGATATTAGGGGGTGTATGAAGGATTTGATTAGGACAGATTTGGTCTCGAGTGCTGTTACAGGTATGAGGGCGGTTCACACTTCCCGGCTGCCAACACCGTGGAAGGTTGTTTCTTGAGGATTCTGAAAAGGAAAGCAGAATAGTGTTGGTCTTAGAGACCTGGATGCGTGACCACAGAGCCCAAAGGACAACTGCTTGAGGCCGGTCACGCACGGCCTTTTTATGAAAGCTTTCTTCAGTAGTAGCTCCGCTCTTGAAAGCCCTTAGTGGGTACCCTTACCGACGGAGACGTAAATCCGTGAGGTAGGGTGAGGAGCGACATTTTTAGGGTCGACCTTTTCTAACTAACCCCTTCCCCTTCCTTGTTAGAAGGCAGCATCACTGCAAATGCTGGTTGTCCGAGGGAAACACTTTACTGTTGCTGTCACACCCCTCTGCAATCAGCAGTATGACTTCGCCCTTAGACGTTGAGTAGCTGCTTTTAGTCTCATCGTTCTCCAATCGACCTGCCTGGCATGGTAGAACCTACAGGAACATATGTTCCAGCCAATATAGCTCTGTTGTGTCATCACGATAGGCAAGCCCGATCACCACGTCAAGGTAGCAGCTTCGGTCGGGTACTGGATGACCGTTTGATCCTAGCATTTGACTCATCAGTAGTACGCATGTACAACCCCGAGTGTTTGACTTGAACTAATCCAACATGTCGCGCGACCTCATCCATTGCGTTCGTTAGGTAATTACTACCCGAGAGGCGACATGGTTGAACTCCACTGTTCACAGCTCCTCATTAAAACTGTCTCACATTCAACACAGTCGAACACCAATAGTTATGGCTTCTTCTTACTACAACTGTGAGAATCCTCTTTCGAAGCTGGTCACTTGTGAGCGCATGATAATTATAATAGACAATGTCAGAAATAAAGAAGATTTGTACAATAATCAAAAAATACTGATTCGCCTGGACAGAATAGATAGGTTGTGGCTAGCATTGGAACGCGCGTTTCGTCCTTTTTAAGACTCATCAGCTGGGTATACTTGTATCTCAGAGTTTATGTTCACTTTAGGACTAGAACTTAGAACCGTTCACTCCAAGACTGATAAAATTTAAGTCAGAATACCTAAAACTGCAAATCGAAATAGATTTTTCTGTGACATTTTGTCAAAATTGAATGACGACTGCACGTTATGCTAGAAAATATCCATGTTCATTTCTTTTTTCAATATCAAATATTGAACCTTTGAATTTTTGCATCGAAAGCATTCAACCGATCGATGAGCAGTGATCAAACTCGGTTTCATGTTAGTTGGCACACGTCCATAAGGAATACTTGTAAAGTGAAGTGAAGTGAACTGATACTCTCAGCAGAACGCGACATCATCCCCACCGGATTTCGCGGTCTGACATGTTATCAGTGATCTATTTGAACGACCACTGACGTCCTGCAGAAATGAGTTACGTAAAAGTGATCGATTATTGAGTTACTGAGCGATTCCATGTTCGTTCTCTTCAAAACTTAGCAAGAATTATTACCAAACTACATCTCACTACATTATTCTCCATGTATTTAAATTGTTAATTTGTCTAGTGTATTTGTAAAAGGACTGGTGTAACGGTTGCGTATTTCGTTTAGCAGATTCGCTGAATCTAAAGCTTCAGTGACTATTGATTGTTGCTGATCAATAATCTTATTGATAGTAAGTGGATTTTATGCGCTTGCTGGGTGGGTAATCGGCTGATCTGTTCTTATTTCCCAATCTCTTTTAAAGTTCTCTCCATCCACCCTACTCCGAATGTACCCCCAAATAAACATCATACCTTCGAGCTAAATACACAACGCTACACTAACAATACAATCCAGAATGTTCACACTGTATTTTACTCGTGACTCATCAGCCGGATATGCAAGCTTTCCATCGTTTATACTAAAAGTATTTACGTGAGCTCAATTACCTATCACTACTTCACAAGCACTCTCAACGTGTTCAACATTGATTAAATGAGTTGAAATAGTTAAGAAATCATACAAAGGAGTGATAGACTGATTATGCGTTATTTCAACACACTTTACTAACAAAGTATGCACACCCATGTCTTTAAACTTTCATTTGCAAAAAAACAGATTATTGGATGTCTTTTAGTCTGCAAAAAAAGTACATCTTTGACTAACGCTCTTCTCTTCAGTATTAGCTGCTGGACGACACTTCTTCACTGCATACTACTTACTAAGCACCGACGTTGTCAGTAGTATCTACCACAAAACAGAGGAAAGAAACAATCAAACTCATAAACTAACTAACCTTTAGTTAAATGTTCGTCATCATCATCATCATCACCATCATCATTGTTCCTTTCTAATTTTACTGGACTGTCACTACCAACCGGTAACGAGGATACACTTACACCAGAATCTGACACGATCATTGGATATTGACTCGAATCACATGTATTCAACTGAGATTGTTTATCGTCTGATGGCTGCTGCTGTTGTGCTGATGGTGCTGATGTTGATGAGAAGGATAAGGACTGGCATGGATCAGATGACTGTTGTGTTAGTTGAATTCGATTGTGTTCAATGTTACTGACATTGTTTGATTGTGAATTACTATCCTCATTAGATGTCAAAGAATGAATTAACAAGTTCGATGAGTTGTTTTCAACTGAAACCGGATTGACTTCAACAAATTTTAAGGGCAGGAAAAATGAAAATTATAAAATTAAGTTTAAAATTTGAAAATATTTGTAAAATAGTGAATGTTTAATTGAAAATATCCGGACAAACTTTTTTCCAATATTCAATAATTGTACAATATCATTACGGGGTTGTGAAGATGAGTAAGTTACACATTTGAAATCATGAATCGATTAATGTTCGACCACCATTAGATATATTTTGAAGCACTGAAAGCCAGCCGTTTCGTCCTGCTATGGGAATCCATCAGCAGTGCGCATCCACAACCTCTTGTCTTGCAAGCGAACGCCTGACCTCTGGACCACTGAGCCTATATCTAGTGGTGTTCATGTCTAACTTTGGTCAATTCATGGAATTGCGCAATCTCTCTTCGGTAGTTACTGTCTACACTCGAACAGGTTGTGAACTTCACTGGTCACGACTTCCCACTAGAACTCGGAGAATATTTCTCACGGAGCTAGTCACCAGTGAGCACAGGTAATTGGATTGCGCGGTTATGGAGATCATTAGGTTACAGATCTGGAATCATGAATCAAAGGTCCTAGGTTCGAATCCTGCAAGCCGCAGGAGTCGTGGGTGCGCAAAGCTGATGAGTCCCATACCAGGACGAAGCGGCCGTCCACTGCGTCCAGGTTTCTAATGGTGGTCTAACAATAATTGATTGATGACAGATAGACAGATACAACGCAGAACTTCGTACGTACGTACATCAGTTCAGGTTGCCATACGACATCAGCACAGAGACGCAATTGTCAGTTCAAATCCAACAGTGATAGTGATAGTAGAAGTATTAGCAGTAATGCAGAAGATTAGGGAGAGAAGATATGATTCGAGAAGTATAATTCAGTGAGATACATTTAGAAAGAGAAAGATAGAGATTATGAGGAATTCAGAAGGTTAGGGTTTGAGAGAACACAAAGAGTGGATGCACCTGTGCCATTGCAACCGATTCTGAGCCATTTCATTCAAGGTCTCTAACCATTGGTTACTATCATCTCGCAGACACCAACCAGGTAGTCTGCACATACAAACATGGCTCAGTTCAGTTGTCCCTGACTTTATGGATTTCTGTCATAGTTTGGTTTGGCTACCCCTAGCTTTCTTTCAACGTGATGCATGCTAAACTCTCGAAACTGTCTACTTGACCGAGAAGACAATATCTATATATCAATCCATTTCTTGACTAATGATATGCATACATTGTTTACGATATTTCTGATGATCATCATCAAATGACCTTGTAATAATATATGTGAACTTTTATGTTGAGCACAGACAGGACTACGTCAAGTCTTTGAACAAGTTAACTAGTTCATTCTTCTAGAGTTCCGATTGGCATACATCTTTCGACCTTAAAAAAAAAACTATTCGTTTATCTTTCGGTTGTTCTTATTCCAGTGCGTTTGTGTATTTCATACTTCGCTTATTACATGTCTAGCTGACTTTCATCTGACTGTTAAATACTAAGTTATGTTTCATCACATAAAGTTGGCTTGACCCCACATTCTCCACTTTGCTTCACTTATTAATTTCGCGCTTTTTATTTTTACATGTCAACTTTTGTAAACAATTGCATGAAATAAATTCATTCACAAAACTATATTCAACTTCTTATTACCGCTGTCACACAAACAGTTGTTCGCCGAATTGTGCTAAATAGAAATTGAACACTAAAATTTATTTCATAGCATAATTTTGATTGTTCGCAAATATTGTGCAGTCAGATCACGGGGTCACTAAAGTGATGAGTCAGTCCTACTTTCAGATCAAAGTAACCAATTAAAACCTTCTTATTTGCTGATCATTTCTCATTGGCTCAATACATCAGTGACAGAGTGGTAACAGAAAACATTAGGTCAAAAAAATCAATAAATCAGTGAGAGAAAATAAGCAAATATACACATCAATATGAATACTTATAAGAAACCAAAACATGCCAGAAATCCATGAAGTCACTGACAAGTGGACTGTGTCATGTTGGTAGATGTAGACTACTTGGTTGGGGTCCGCGAGACGAAAGTCACTAATGGTTAGAGACCTTGAATGACATGGCTCAAGATCGTTTGCAATGGAGCAAGTGCATCCATTCGTTGAGATCTCTCAAATCCTAATCTTCTGGATTCGTCGGCACCTCTACCTTTGTCTTTCTAAGTTTATCTCACTGAATTATACTTCTTGAATAATATCTTCAAACCATAGACTTCTTCATTACCATTAATACTTCTACTATATTTATCGCTATAGGATTTGATTTGACATTTGCGTCTCTCTGTGCTAATGTAGTGGTATGGCAACATGAACTAATGTACATACGTACGAAGTTCTACGTTGCAACTGACTGACTGATAACAATTGATGAGTCTAAAAATTGGTAAAAACAAGAAAAAAAAATAAAACTTACGTTCATGTTTGTCTTTAATATTATTATTATTATTACCCTTATTTTTTATCACTTCATTCGAATTCAATGTTGAATATTCCCAAACTCGTAAACGTTCCGGATAATTTAAACTTTTCCGTGTTATTTCATGCCAAAATATCCAATCATTGGTCAATTTTGACAATGATAATTGTGATGTGGACGCAGTGAGTGACAATGAAGATGTTGATTCATTATTCTGTCGACGATCGACATGACGATTATGATCATGCTCGCGATCGAGATCGTCATCATTGTCGTGTTGATCAGATATGGTGTAAAATACACGTTCCGCAGCCGATAAATACATATTCACATCTAAGTTAATAATTAGCCGACATAAATTCAATAGACATAAACGTTTGGCACAATCAAATGAATGAAACGATTCAGCATGATTATGATGAGAAAGTATTGATTGGTTTTGTGCTGTTGAATGAACATTTTTCAATGTTGTTGTATTGATCAATACCGACAGTGATAAACGATTAATGAGACAATTGAAAATTGAACGAATTGGCCATTTTTTTGAAAGGAATTTCAAATTATTATCATGCATTACAGGTGTTTGCATGCCTAATTGATTATTAGTATTGGCTAAAAATAATTCCTGATGAATAAATGAAGTCACGATAGGAAAATAAACAAAAAAAATTCGACATTTTGACAGAAAGAAAAAAAAGCGTTAAAATTATCTTAGCTAATGTTTAAATTAGGGTTGAATGTGCGTATTCCTATGGCTTCTGCAATGTGTAGGAGACGGGATCGAACTCCGTTGGGAAATGATGGAGGTATACGATAGATCACCCGAAAAGATCTAACTTTATCTACAATGTGACCACTATCTACCAGGTGTGCTAAGATAGAACTGCGTATTGTTTTTGACTGACCCTTTGTAAACCATGCTGGGAGATGTTCGCTCATTCGTTGGTTAAGTTGCCTGGAAGTACGCCCGATATAGCTATCTCCACAGGAGCAGCTGAATTTGTAAATGCACATAGAGGAGGCCAACTCAGGTAACTTATCCTTCGTTTGGGTAGACATCGCTGGTCGACTGGAGAAAGTCAATGCAAGTTTGGCAGCGTTGAATGTTCTACTAATTACTCTTACTAATCTGTCCTGCAGAGTATCGCAGGCCACATCCCCGTTGAATTGTAACTTTATAAATAAAGGTTTCTTTTGGGCGGTCGAAACCACCGACTTCTTTTTTACGGCAGACATATACTTCTTTATGAATGCGCTGGGATAACCAATCTCGGTTAGTGAGTCGTTGATGAATTCCAGCTCCTGACTTAAGGTTGAACAAATCATATTTGCTCTGTTAGTGAGGCATCTAACCAAATTTCTTTTGTAGCGGATAGGTGTAAAACTACAAAAGTGAGTGTATTGGCAAGCACTGGGATTTTTTCTATATACGCTTCTGCTTAGTGAACCATCATTACGTCTACTTAGTGTGATGTCAAGGAAACTCAGTTTCTTATCGTATTCTTCTTCACCAGTGAACGTGATTACCGGGTGTACACTGTTGAATTCGTCTAAGAGTTTTTCTATTCTGATGTCCTGATCTACAATGATGAATGTGTCATCGACGTAACGGCAATATAGATCAAGTTTCTGAATAGTTTCATTTAGTGGTCCATTTTCTAGCTTTGCTAGAAAGAGATCAGCTAGAATTGGGCCAAGAGGTGAATCCATGTTTAAATGTTCAATCTTGATCATGTCCATTGAGTTTTAACGACTATGTCTTCTTATTTCTCTGTTCAAATTTATCTCAAAGGGAACCACTGGATGATGAATGATATGACTCAAAACCGTTTGCAATGGCGCAAACGCATCCATGCTTTGCGTCTTTTCAGATCCTAATTTTCTGAATTCCTCATCAGCTTTATCTTACACGTTTTAAGGTTATTTCATTAGATTATACTTCTTGAATAATTTCTTCGAATAATAATCTCTCTACTACCTCTACTATTATGGAATCTGAACTTGGTATGGGAACTTGAACTGATGTATATCCGTACGAAGCTCTACGTTGTAGCCTACTATTTGATTAAACCAAGGTAGGTGATAATTTTAGAAGGATTTTTTACGAGTAATTCACCAATAGGTTTCATCCAAATGGCATTACAGCAACGTTAGAAGATGCAACTCAACGGTAGTCGGTTACCAACATGCTGGGGATGTTAGATCCCCAGAACTCGGTTGATAAATAATATCTTTATTTTGGAATTTATTTCATGGACAGATCAGTGGACCTTGAGATTACATTTCCAACCAGGAAAATCTTCGGCTGTGATTGGTTACTGTGTCATTTTGGTGTGCTAATTTTGTTGCTGTCCCAAGGACGTCTCTATAGAGTATATAAATAAACGTTATTTGAGTGCTTGGATTCATTGTGTGCAAGCTGGCTGGGTGTCTGCAGAATACACTTTCTACGCTATATCAAGATTTTTTGGTCAAGGGATCACAGTAGCCTACCTGGAAGCTGGTTCATTCTTTTGATTTCGTTATTCGACTAAGGTGAACTCGTAATAATATAGTTTAAGCATACCTAGAGTCGAGTATAACAAAACAATAGGCTCATAAACTATTGGTTGCTTTAGGATGGTGAGGCCCATGTGAAACAATGGTTTCGAATCAGGATCTTACTACTCCCCACTCTCGACTGTATCAAGGTACTTAGGGATTCGAAATAGTACTAAACAATAATCATAGTAAAAAATAACATGATTTTAAGTCACATAGAAAACTAACAATTAAAGTAGGACCAATATCATCAGTCAGTCAGTCAGTAAGATGCAACGTAGAACTTCGTACGTAAGTACATCAGTTCATGTTGCCATACCACATCAGCACAGAGATATAATTGTCAATTCAAATCCAATAGTAGAAGAGGTAGTAAGGGAATTAGAAGCAATCGGAGAGGTTACGATTAGAAGATATTATTCAAGAAGTATGATTCAATGAGAAAAGTTTAGAAAGTAAAAAGTAGAGGTGTTGAAGAACCCAAAAGATTAGGATTTGAGAGAACACAAAGAATAAATGCACCGGCGCCATTGCGAACGATTTTGAGCCATGTCATTCAAGGTCTCTAACCATCGATTATTATCATCTCACGGACCCCAACCAGGTAGTCGACAACTACCGACATGGCTCAGTCTACTAGTCAATGATTTCATGGATTTCTATCATGTTTTGGTTTGGCCGCCCCTAACTTTCTTCCAACCTATTCCTACACTACAAAACAAAGATCGACGAGGTAGTCGGTGGTTGGGCATACGCTATACATGTCCCAACCACCTCAACTGATGAAGTTTCATTACTTCATCTATTGTTCTGCCATTCTTACCTAGCAGCCGATTCCTAATAACAGCGTTGCTCACTCGGGTGTCCCACGATATACGAGCAATGCTTCGAAGACACCTATGATCGAATACTAGTAACCTACGAACATCTACTCTTAACAGCTATGTTTCACATCCATATAGGAGAACGGAACGAACTGCTGCGCAGTACACCCGCCCTTTGGTTAGCAAACGGATATCACGCCTACGCCATAAGTGACGCAGGTTGGCAAAAGCCAATCGAGCTTTCTGTATCCGAGCTGAGATTTCGTCAGTCACCAGACCGTCAGCACTGATGAGACTCCCCAGATAAGTGAAGTGATCAACACGCTCGACTACTTCACTCCCTATCACTAGTTCAGGTGCCGATGCAATCCAGTCTTGAAGCAACATTTTGCATTTCGAGGGTGAGAACCACATGCCGAACATGCTCGCATTGTTGCTTATGGTAGTCAGAAGACTCTGCATTTTGTCAGCGTCTTCACCGAATAGAACTATGTCATCGGCATATTCTTGATCAGTAAGCGACTTTCCTGGTAGAAGGTCAACTCCTGAAAAATCTGACGAGCTTAATGTTAACTCTAGGAGGATGTCTACAACAAAGTTAAACAAGAATGGAGAGAGTGGACAGCCCTGACGGACACCACTTGATGTAGAGAATTCAGATGACAGTTCGCCATAAGCTCTCACCTGACCAGTAGTTTTAGAGTAGAGAGCTTGTATAAGGTTAATGTACTTCTTTGGTACACCTTTCAATGACAGACACTGCCACAGAACCTCACGATCCACTGAGTCAAATGCCGCTTTTAGGTCCAGGAACACGACTATTGTCGGACGTCTAAATGTGTGTCTGTGTTCCAGGGCCTGTCGTAGTGTAAGATGTGGTCTATACAACCACGTCCAGGTCGAAAACCAGACTGGTTTTCTCGAGTTTGCTCTTCGCGAGCTCTAGTTAGACGTCTAAGTATAATCGAGGCTAGGATAGAACAAACCAGATTCTTGCAGCTGAGGAAGAAATCGAGAAGAAGCGCTCGACACACATTTCGGCGATGCACCCAACTGCGTCACAATACAAACCCTCACTTGGAATCCTCAAGGCCAATGGAAAAGAGGAAGACAGAAGAACACAGTACGCTGAGGAATGAAGACAGACATGAGAAGAATGAGGAACAATCGGATAGAACTAGAAAAGAAGGCTTAGGAGAGAGAGAGAGTAGGTTGGATAATGTTTGTCGACGACCTATGGATCCATTGGGGGTAAGTAAGATGTAAACTAAGGAAGAAAAAAAGAGGCCTCACAAATAAGCTTATTTAAAAAAAACCAACACGAAACACCAAACACTTACTCGAAATCCAGTCAATAATGTCGAAATGAATTGCCATTTATCGATTATTGTTAAATTATACATATAAATCAGTAGGGTAGTAGTAGTAGTAGTAGTAGTAGTAGTAGTAGTAGTGCTTGATGGCAAATTCGACCATTCATCAGAATGCATCCTCAATACGTATTCAAATATTCCAGGTATCAAGCCATAATGAAATACATCAAATTTCATTGAACAATGATCATTGTTTAAATTGTTTAAATTACAAGTGGTCAATTCAAATGGTGGCTGCTGTTGGTGTGGTTGTTGTTGGTTTAATGATGGATACCAGAATGATTTGCAACCGAATAAAATAATACACCGTAATAAACTTGGATTTATCATTATTGTTGAACTGTATTCGGCGGATTTGTTCTGTAACGTTCTCAAGGGTAATGTCAGCAGGATTTCATTGAATAGAACCTATAAACAAAACAGAAGATAATAAGTAGATATGGAATCTCTGAGTGGAAGTCAGTCAGCTACAACGTAGAACTTTGTACATACGTACATCAGTTCAAGTTGCCATACCCCGCGACTGTTAGTTCAAATCACATAGTATTAGTGTTCGAAGATGTTAATTCAAGGTGTGTATTTCAGTGTAATCAGTATGGAAGATAAAGGTGATGAAGAATCCAGAGGATTAGGATTCAAAAGAGAAGCCAAAGAATGCCATTCCAACGATTTGAAGCCATATCATTTAAAGTCCCTAACCATTATTGGCTATCATCTCGTAAAACCTAACCAGATTGTTTACACTTATATCAACATGGTTCAGTTCACTTTTCTTAATGAGAATTTGTAATTGATGAAGTTACTAGTTTTGAACGTTGAATAGTCATGGATTCTCACAAGAACTCTGATGAATTTTTTCATAAAGCTAATAATCCTTAACGATCATGAATTATGACACACAGAGAGAGAGAGAGTGAGTGAAAATAATTCCCATCGCATTTTGATTGGCTACCAGGTGCAAAGTAATCAGTCAATCAGCTAAAACGTAGAAATTCCAAAGTGTTCCTACATTAATTCACGTTGCCATACCATATTAGTACAGAGAGATTGAATTGTTAATTCAAATCCTATAGTAGTAGAGGTAGAAGAAGTACTAGTGTAGTGAAGGAGAACACAGGTGAGGGCAACTGGATTGTATTTAACGAAAATTACAGAGTTACTCAGTAAAATAGGAAAACCATATCGTAAATTGTTCATTTGCAAAATATCAATCCATCATATCGAACTGGACTGTTCCTGTTGCAAAACATCAATCCATTGTCACTATTCATGCGTTTCATACAAATTCCATTGTTTTCTAACTCTTCCTTTCTTGATCTCTCTCCATCTTCCTCTGCCAGACAACATGAATTTGTGCCATGTTTTGGTTTGGCCCAACCCTAGCTTTCTTCCAGTCTACCCCTAAATCAGACAACATCACTCACCAAGGTATTTGATAGTTGATCATTCGTAACACATATCTCAATCATCTTGACTGATGAAGTTTCACTACTTCATCTACGTACTGATCTAGCATCCTTAGAAACAAACAGATAGTGGCGAACGACGATAGAGTTTATCCTTAGTCATGCCTAACAGTATACATGGACGAATTTCGTGCGGTGAAATCGAAGACTAGTTCAATCTACTCAATGATAGTTTCACCAATGAAACCGTTGCCTTGCGCTTTCAAAGTTCTCTTTTTTATCTGATATCAATTCCAAATAGAAATATTTTCCTTCGATTAAAAGAGAAACTTTCATGAAAACTAAACAAAACAGTAGTTCAAATATAAACAGAAAGAAAGTGCAATGGTTTATTTACTTTCATAATTTCATAAGATTTAAATGAAATCACATTGAATTGTGGATGTTTGAATAGACGTGCTAATAGGCAATGACCAAAACTTAATGGTACTGCCGATTTCACATTGGATTGATCCAGACAATTATTCGGACATGCGTATTGGTGTTGTTGTTGTTGATGATGTGGATGTCGTCTCTCAACTGAACTCTCTACACCCGGATGACATAATGCAGGGGCATTGAATTTTGCATACATCACACTTGAATGGCGTAACATTGTAAAAAGGAGTTCAAGGCCAGATGCTAGTAAAATAGAATGATGTGATTGACATACAAGCTGTAAAAAATTGGAAAACAGAAAAAAAAATTGAGGTTATGAGAAATAAACTACTAATACAAGTGTTGATGAAAAGTTGTCTACTTAAGAGATACAGACAATCCGTTGGCCAGATACCATCAGTAGCAACCTTTTATAGGAGAGAACAAACCAGATTCCTCTAGCTAGGCGGTCCGACCGTAGCTGATACCTTGACGTGGTGGTCGGACTTTCCTATCGTGATGACCCAACTAAGCTAGCTCTATTGGCTGGAACATATGTTCCTGAAATTTCTCTACCATGCCAGGCAGGTCGATTGGAGAACGATGAGACTAAAAGCAACTACTCAAGGCCTGGGGGCGAAGTCGTACTGCTGACTGACTGTAGAGGGGTGTGACAGCAGTAAGGTGTTTCCTTCGGACAACCAGCATCTGCAGCGATGCTGCCTTCTCACAAGGACGGAAGGGTTAGAAAAGGTCGACCCATAAAAATGTCACACCTCACCCTACCTCACAGATTTCCGTCTCCGTCGGTAAGGGTGCCCACTAAGGGCTTTTAGGGCGGAGCTAATCCTCAAAAAACCTTTCATCAAAAGGCCGTGCGTGACCGGCCTTAAGCAGTTGTCCCTTGGGCTATGCGGTTACGCCCCCAGATCTCTAAGACCAACACTAATCTACCTTGTTTTTCAGGTCCTTCAAGAAACAACCTTCCACGGTGTAAGCAACCGGGAAATGACAACCGCCCTCATACCTGTAACATCACACGAGATCAAATTGGTCAAAATCAAATCAAATCCGTCTTATAACAGCTAAGAGAGAAAATTGAAAAAATCAATAGAGCTGAATAGGGAAAACATGGAGGAAATCATCAAACTGAGTCAAGAGGTAAGTCCTCACTTGGAATCCCCAATACCAAAGAACATGTTGAGCTGAGAATCGGAGATATACATGAAAAGAATAGACAGCGATCGGCTAGAACTGTAAAAAAAGGCTGAGGACACGGTGGGATAGAGAATGCGGGCCCGCAGCCTATTCTCCCCTGGGAGTACCAGGCGTAACTATGCACTGATTATAATGACTAATCAGGAGCTAAAGTCTTCATTTTAAAAATCGATGTTTCACAAGTATAACTGATTGATTGTTGACCAATTGGATTTCGATCGGACAGTTTTATGGAGAACACTGATTTCGGATGAAACAAACAAGTCAATAACATTGAGGCAGTACTTAATAGGAGACATTCTTTGGTTAGTATTACAATCGTGGATTATTTTCATTTAACCAGGTTGATTTCATGGCTCATATTTATGTTAATTTAATAAATATGCACGTTATATATTGTTCAAATCTGTATATATATATATATATCTTAGTGTGAAGTTCAACATCAAGATTGACAAGTTACAAACCAAACTGACAAATATACTTCATTCTACTGCTGAGTAGAAGATAGATAAATTGGATCATTGTAATTAAAGACATTATATGATGAATCCACCCCGCCCCCTCCACACACACACACACTGCCGCAGAATGTATATATTTTTCAACAATGGTCGATAAAGACTGGACCCTGAGTATCAACTAAGGGATGAATTTACTAGTAGAAAGTGAACCAAAACCTTACGGTTTCATTGACGAATACTTAAGCCTCCAGAATATTGTACGGATATCCAGTGGTGTCATTGCCTACTTCACTCAAAAAATACAACCGGATAGTTCGTAAATTAATTACTTACTTACTTACGCCTGTTAACCGCAATGGAGCATAAGCCGCTGACCAGTATTCTCCAACCTACTCTGTTCTTGGCTTCCGTTTTCAGTTCTGTCCAACTGTTGTTCATTCTTCTCATGTCTGTCTTCACTTCTCTGTGTAATGTGTTCCTTGGCCTACCACTTTTCTTTTGACCTTAAGGGTTCCAAATAAGGGTTTGTCTTGTGTCCTATCTACTTCCAAAGCATCTTCCTGATTTCTTCCTCCGCTGAAATCTAGTTTCTTGATTCCCACAGTAAGTTGTTGCTGATGGTGCCTAGCCAAAGGATTCGAAGAATTTCGCGTGGACAACTTTGGTAGTTTTCCAAGTTTCTGCCCCACACAGTAGAACTGTCTTGACATTTTTTATTGAAAATTCTGACTCTGGTGTTTGTTGACAGTTGTTTTGAGTTCCAGATATTGTTCAATTGTCGACAGTTAGTTTTCTACGGGATGGAGTTGCCAACCGCATGCCGAACCATCCTGCTTTATCCGGGCTTGCGACTACTAGCAATAGCCGCAAACGGGATCCAGCCGAGGATGTTATTAGTATCGGGGATGTGTAAAGATTGTAGTATTTCCATACCGATATTTTCATGCATGCGAGACCAATAATATCGAGTTCGATTCCTGAATGTAAGGTCACAGGTATGGATTGCTGAAGATATCCTCCATACTAGGATGAAACAGCCCTCCAGTACTTTTGTGTACTTAATGATATTCTATTGAAGACCAGTTCGGTATTTTAAATGTGTGAATATTTACTATACTACTCACATTTACTTAGTAGTATAAAATATTTAAAATTAACAATAATATTACCAAAAATACCAAAAATAATTTCACATATTTTATAGGTAACAAAGAATTTATAGCATCAATATCTCATAAAAAACTTACTTCACCAAGAAGATAAATTGGCACTTCCACACCTCCATGAGGTTCAAAAACTGAATCGAAACATTGTCGATAGTGAAAATTGACAGAATGATGATGTATCGATCGGTTGTGATCATGTGAATATTTACTCTTCAATAGCCATAAACTTGTTCGTGAGGAATGAGTACGTCTATATTAGAAAAAGGTGATTAAAGAAAAGGAAAAATGAATGAAATTTCAATCTGTACTAATAATTAATACAAAAACATTTACATAGATCTAATCAAATCTACAAACACAGAAGTCGAAACAGTTGCATTGTACGGGGGGGGGGCGAAAACTTGGAGAACAACGAAAGCCATTATCCATAAGATACGAGTGTTTATTAACAGTTGTCTATGTAAGATACTCCTTATCCGTTGACCAGAGTCAGTTAGTCCTGGGGATAAGAGAGGGTAGGATTTTGGTGTGATCAGGTTTGATCTTGTGTGCTTTAACGAGTATTAGGGCTGATGTCACTTCCCAGCTTCTGATACCATGAAAGGGTGTTGCTTGGGGAACCTCAAAAGAAGTTAGGTCAGCGTTTGTCCTAATGACCTGGGAGTGTGACCGCAGAGCACAAAGGAAAACTGCTTCAGCCGGTCACACACGACCGTTTTTGGGAAGTTTTGGAAGTATCCGCGCCAAACTTCAAAAGACTATACGCAGGAGACGGAAACCTGTGGAGTAAGGTCAGGTGAACCTTTTCTAACACTTTTTTTCTGTTGTGAGAAGGCAGCATCGTCGTAGATGCCGGTTGTCCAAGGGAAACACCTAATTGTCGTCACAGCCGTCTACAATTAACAGTACAATTTCACCTTGATCTTTCCAATTTTTCCTAGTTTTCAGAGATATTTCAAAAAAATATCAGACAAAGTGCAGAAGATTATTTTGTTGATTTTAGAGTACATAGAGGTGGTCGATCAAATTTTTTTGTAAACAAACATCAATCTATAAAAGGGAGAAAGCTTAAAATGAGAATAAACGTTTTAACAATTTCCAAATAATCCTAACTTCAGTTATGAATGTTTTACACAAGTGATTAGCATATAATCAGATGTATTGTCTGAAATAACTCCACCCGGAGCCCATCTAGAACTATTGCCGGTCCCAAGACCGGATAAAGGAGGAGGGTTAGGTAAATGATTAGCGATCCCAACCCGTGGAAAACTAACTCACCAAACAAAAACGCCAACCAGAGAAAAAAATATCACTAATTGTTTGAACTAAACACTTATCGACCAAGTTCAGCACCTTGATTCAAGAAATATATTCTCTCTTCATAATTTAAAGGTCCAACTGAAAGAAAGAGGGTTGTTCCTTTTAAATTAGACAAACCTTCGCGGTATCTCCTTCAAGGCCAAAGGAAAACAGAAAGACCTTAGAACAGTGTAGGTCCGAGAATCGGAAGCAGACATGGAAACAATGAACAATAATTGAGTAGGACTGAAAAGAAATTGATATGCTTGAAACTATGATGAGTTCACCTTACTCGATAAGCCGAACGAAGATCAACAATACAGTGACACGATAGGCTATTCTAATCAGATTACCCAGGCAGCGCTAATTAGAGGAGGGATTCTTGATGAGAGGTAGAGAATGTATTCTACAGGCACTCAGAAATGTCGATGTTGTTAAACACTCAACTAAAGCTTATTTAAACAATGATAGCAACGTCCTTGGGAGAGCCACAAAAGAGCATACTAAAATAATCCATCAACCAATGACAGTCAAGGATTTTCCGAGTGAAAAATATAAGCTGAAGGTCAACTAAGAGTCGCTGGCGCGAAAAAAATGAATTCCAAAATTTTGCAATAAAATAACAAAATTAGGACCTTTTCCAAGTGAGTTCTATGGATCTAACGTCCCCAGAAGAACGAACCAAGGACTGAGTTGGTTGGAGAGTGCTAGTCAGTAGCCTATGCTCCATCGGGGGTAACATGCCTAAGTAAGTATCAGTATTTATTCAATTCACTCAAACAATGTTATCAATAGACACTGTTAGAATATTCATCCAATATCCTAAGAGAACTATTGGTCAATTCCTATTGGTTAATTCCGACTGGTCAATATTATGGTCGTCCTAGATATCAATGTCACGTATTCCAATGTTGTTCCCTATTCGACCTAAATGTATAAATACGCATTATCTGTAACGTTTTATGGACCGGACCTGGATCCTTAATCCGGGATCCTTGCCTTCTTCTGCACTCGAACCTCGTACGTGCTGGATGTTTGTAGAAGACAGGTTCTGCTTCATATCAAGTCTTCTTCTTTTACTCAATATGGGGGTTAGAACATTCGGATTAGAGTAGCATATCGTGTCGCCTGGCCGTCGATCCTCGCTCTCGTTTTCCAACTACGGTAAACTCGTCATAATAATTCAAGCATATGGAAAAAATGACATGTTGACGTTCATGCGTAACATAAACTAACAACCCATACATTAGTGTCCTATTTGAAAAATCGATAACTTCTTTTTTGTTTCTATTGTTGTTGTTAAAACAATTCACTGTGTGTGTGTACAATGTTCAATGTTCGTTGCGCAACCGCCAAAATAAATAAACCCAAGAATAAAATAACATAAAAACTTACTCGAATTGTATGTGATTTCTATCCGGTGATGATTTGTATTGTTGGCGGCGGCTAACATGTATTTGACTGTCGTTTACTTTTGTTGACAATAATAACTCATGACAATCGGAGAATTTTGGTAAAATAAATTGTAAATTATTTGAATTATTACTCAGCAAACTGATGAATAAATGTTCCTTTGGAAACGAAAAAAATAACAATAGAAAGAGAAAAAAAGGGGCAAGAGGAAAAATGAATAGAATGGAGGAATTCTTCGTAGAACAAACAACATAGTTATACTACTTACTTACTAACTTACTTCAGGGTGTTGCCACTCATAGAGCAAAGGACGCTGACCATCAGAATTCTATAAGCCTACTCTCTCTTCAACCTGTCTTTCTAGTTCTGTCCAACTGTTGTTCATTCTTCTCGTGTCTGTCTCCATTTCTTCCTCTTTCCATTTGACCTTGAGAATTCCTAGTGAGGAGTTGAGTTGTGTTATGATACAGTTGTGTGTTTTCTTCAATGTCTCTCCAATCAATCCACTTCCGGTGTTTCTTCCTGATTTCTACGAATGCCAATAACAACACCAGACCAAAACATGGCACCCAGTAAATGAAGTCACTGACAAGTGGACTATAAGCCATGTTGGTGGGGATGTAGACCGCCTGGTTGGGGTAGGCGAGATGATAGAGACTTTGAATTATTAATGATGGCACAAGTGCATCCATTAGTTTATCTGCTCTAAAATTCTAATCTTTTAAATTCCTCATCACTTTTATTGTTGTAAATTTATTTCACTGGTTTATACGTCTTGAATCGGTTTTTTTCGATCCCTAATCTTTTTCATTACTGCTCATACTGTAGTGAACGAGAACACAGGGGGGGGGGCAACCGAATTGTATTTAACGAAAATTACAGAGTTACTCAGTAAAATAGGAAAACCGTATCGTAAATCGTTCATTTGCAAAATATCAGTTCATCACATCGAACTGGACTGTTCCTGTTGCAAAACATCAGTCCAATGTCACTGTTCATGCGTTTCATACAAATTCCATTGTTTTCTAACTCTTCCTTTGTTGATCTTCCCCCATATTATGCTGCCGGACATTACGTTGACACCCACGTCATATACTACTTATAAGTAGCTCACACCACAATACTTCTACTATCTCTACTACTACAGGATTTTGTTGAGGACCTTAGACCCCCCAGAACTCACTTGACAAAGGTCCTAATTTTCGATTTTATGTTTTTCAGCATGGGCTGATCAGTTGACCTTGAGATTACATTTCCCACCCGGTAGACCCTTGTCTGTTATTTAGAATGCTATTTTTGTGGCTGGCCCAAAGACATTTCTGACATGTATAAATAAACTCAATTTGTGTGCTTTTGAACCTCATATTTTCTGGGTGCTTGTAGAATACACATTCTACGCCAAATATCAAGACTTATTCCTCTACTTAGTGAGGCCTTGCGACGCTGGGATTAGAGTAGCCTCCTATCGTATCACTGGATCATTTGTCTTCGCTGTCATTTACCGACGACTAAGGTGAACTCGTAATAGCATTCAAGCATATCAATTGACTTGAGCATAACAGATTTGAATTGATAATTCGATCGATCTCTTTGTGCTAATATGGTGGTGGCATGCTAACTTGAACTGATATACGTATGTACGAAGTATTATGTTCTGGTTAAATTGTGGTGTGAGCTACTTATAAGTAGTATATGACGTGAGTGTCAACGTAATGTCCGGCAGCATAATATGGGGGAAGACCAAGAAAGGAAGAGTTAGAAAACAATGGGGTTCGTATGAAACGCATGAATGGTAGTGACAATGGATTGATGTTTTGCAACAGGAACAGTCCAGTTCGATATGATGATGGACTGATATTTTGCAAATTAATGATTTATGATATGGTTTTTCTATTTTACCAATTAACTCTGTAATTTGAGATGAATACAATTTGCTTGCCCTCACTTGTGTTCTCCTTCACTACACAGTTATATTAGGTTTCAAATATCTATCATTGAAAAATAATCACACGAAATATTATACTAATTGACAACAATGAAAATCAGTTCCATTGAATTTTAGAATAGAATCAGTCACTATATCGTGAATGCATGTGAAATTTACTGCACACAATGTGCAACAGCACACAAATGTGAATGAATAGAAACTACACAGAAAAAAAATGTGTCCACATCTTGACTTAAAACACCAAATGTTCAAATCGATAAATAAAAAAAACAGATCGATTATAAAGTCACACAATCAATGAACATCATTGATGTGATTACGAGTAGAGAGAAAGAGAGAGAGAGAGAGAGAGTTCAGCTTGTTTTTCAAATGCATTCAAATATTCTGTAGATCTAAATGAAAATCTTTAGGCGTCCTACAATAGTTGTTTTCCTGGACCTTAAGGCGGCATTTGACTCAGTGGACCGTGGGGTTCTGTGGCAGTGTCTGTCATTGAAAGGTGTACCAAAGAAAATTATACAAAGCTCTTTACTCGAACACCACTGGTCGAGTGAGAGCTTATGGCGAACTGTCAACGGAATTCTCTACATCAAGTGGTGTCCGTCAGGGATGTCCACTTTCTCCATTCTTGTTTAATTTTATCATAGACATGCTCCTAGAAATAACCTTATCCTCGTCTGAATTTTCAGGAGTAGAACTTTTACCTGCTGGCTCGCTTATTGACTTAGAATATGCCGATGACATTGTCCTACTTGGTGAAGATGCTGACAAAATGCAGAGTCTTCTGACTACCATAAGCAACAATGCAAGCATGTTCGGGATGCGGTTTTCCACCGTCGAAATGCAAAAAGTTGCTTCAAGATTGGGTTGAATCGGTACCTGAACTAGGGATAGGGAGTGAAGTAGTCGAACGTGTAGACCGCTTCACTTATCTTGGGAGTCTCATCAGTGTCGATGGCCTGGTGACTGACGATATCTCAGCTCGGATACAGAAGGCTCGACTGGCTTTTACCAACCTACGTCACTTATGGCGTAGGCGTGATATCCGTTCTCTAATCAAAGGACGAGTGTACTGTGCAGCAGTTCGTTCCGTTCTCCTATATGGCTGTGAAACATGGCCAATGAGAGTAGAAGATATTTTTAGGTTACTGGTTTTCGATCATCGGTGTCTTCGAAGCATTGCTCGTATACCGTGAGACAACCGAGTAAGCAATGCTGTCGTTAGGAAACGAGTACTAGGTAAGGATGGCAGATCAATCGATGAAGTGGTGAAACTTCATCAATCGAGGTGGCTGGGACATGTCTTGCGTATGCCGAACCACCGACTGCCTCGTCGAGCTTTGTTTTGTAGTGTAGGAATAGATTGGAAGAAAGTTAGGGGTGGCCAAACCAAAACATGACAGAAATCCCTGAAGTCATTGACGAGTAGACTGAGCCATGTCGGTAATTGTCGACTACCTGGTTGGGGTCCGCGAGATGATAATAATCGATGGTTAGAGACCTTGAATCAATGACATGGCTCAAAATCGTTCGCAATGGCGCCGGTGCATTTATTTTTTGTGTTCTCTCAAACCCTAATCTTCTGGATTCTTCAACCCCTCTAGTTTCGACTCTCTAAACTTTTCTCACTGAATCATACTTCTTGAATAGTATCTTCTAACCCTAACCTCTCCGATTACTTCTAATTCCCTTACTACCTCTACTACTATTGGATTTGAATTGACAATTATATCTCTGTGCTGATGTGGTATGGCAACATGAACTGATGTACTTACGTACGAAGTTCTACGTTGCATCTGACTGACTGACTGAAATGAAAATCTTAACAATTGATTTCAAGTTTATATAGAGTAGAGTAGATAGAATGTTGTCTACACAAAATACTTCGTATTTGTTGGTCAGAGACCACCATCAGAAACAACCTATTACAGAAAAAATCAAACCAGATTCCAGCAGAGTAGGAAATCAAGGAAGAAGCGGTGGAAGTAGATAGAACATTAACATTGAGGAAAGCACATAACGGCACTACAAGACAAGCCGTCATTTGGAATCCTTAGGGTTAAAGGAAAAGAGGAAGGCAAAGGAATACATAAGAAGAAAGAGCAAAATATTGGACAGAATTGCAAAGGGAAGCTCAGGACAGAGTAGGTTGGAGAATACTGGTCGACCGCCTATGTTATATTTAGGGTAACAGGCATAAGTAAGTAAGTAAGTAAGTTAGTAAGTAAGAGATAGTATGTGACTCTAGCAGTGGAATCCAGCTCACTCGCGTATTTTGTCCTTATCAGAATTTCTCAACTGAATAAATCTGTATCATGGATTAGATGTTCACATAGGAAATATCAAATTCAACCCAGTTCACTTTTGGAAAAGAATACGTGTCGTAGAATCCACTATGCTAGATCCATATACCATCATCTATCCTATAGAATGGTTACATTGAGACAATTTTACAAACCATGATTGATCGAATTCCAGTCCAACTATTAACACTACGACGCTAATCTCTTCCCAATTACTGCTAATACCTGAACTACTTCTACTACTATTATGGGATTCGAATAGACAATTGCGTCTTTGTTCTAATGTGTGCTGTATGGACACACGTGAAGTTCTATGTTGTGACTGACTGACCAAATATCAACAAAAAAAGGATTAATCTATACTATTTCAAATTAAATTCAGTGACTCCTAATAAAACTAACTCATATACCGAAACCCTAATAATTCTAACTGTAACTGATATTTTTTTGTTGACTACTTATTGTAATCAACTCTGGTGTGTCTTCGGTCTCTCAGAGTTGAATGTTTTAGCTGTCAAGCTTTCATTGTTCTTCTTCTTCTTCTTCTACACAACATCATATAATCAGCATAAACTTCAGATACAAGTGTTTATCAACAGTTGTCTATGCAACATACTAAGGATTCTGTGGCTAGACACTAGCACAACAATCCATTGTAAGAGAGAACCAACCAGATTCTTCCAGCTGAGAAGGAATTTAGTAAAAAACACTGGAGGTGGACAGGACACACAGTGAAGAGTGCATCTAACTGAGTCAAAAGACAAGCCTTCACTTGGAATACTCAATGCCATGGGGGAAGACGAAGACCAAAAAGCACATTATGTCAAGAAATGGAGACAAACAGGAGAATAATGAACAACAGCTTTGGACGTGTAGAAAGGATTTGATCGTGACCAATTTGGTCTCGTGTACTGTCACCGGTATGAGGGCGCTTGTCACTTCTCGGATACCCATCGCGTGGAAGGGTACTTCTTCAAGGGACCTGAAAAGGAAATCGGGTTAGCATTGGTTTGAGCGACCTTGCTTCTTTGTGAGGAGTCTGCGTCGCTGCAGATGCTGGTTGTCCGAGGAAAACACCTGCAGGAACATGTGTTCCAGCTAAATATAACTTGGTTGGGTAGGAAAGCCCAACAACCACGTCCAGGTAGCAGCTACGATCGGGGAACAACAGTTGAACAGAACTAGACAAGAAGGCCCATGTCAGAGTGGGTTTTAGAATGCTAGTCCGTGGCCTATGCTCTGTTGGCGGTAACAGGCGTAAGTAAGTGCATAAACTATTTGGTTACGGTTCATATGATAATTGTAACCACTGACTAGAGACTGAATGACAAGGCTCAAAATCGTTTGCAATGACGCATGTATATATGCCTTTTGTCTTCCGTCAAATTCAAAGTGTTGGGGATGTTAGACCCCCAAAACTCGCTTGATAAATGTCTTATTTTGGTTTTCGCGTTTGCCAGCACGGGCTGATCAGTTGACCTTGAGATTTCATTTCCCATCAACCAGGAAAATCCATGGCTGTGATTGGCTGCTGTGTATTTTAGTGTGCTATTTTCGTAACTGTCCCACTAGGACGTTTCTATGATGTATAAATAAATGAGAGTTGTATGCTTGATTGTACTGTGATTACTGGGTGTTTATAGAATATACTTTCTACTCTTACAAAGCCTTTTATCTTCAGCTTCGGATTCAAGGTAGACTATCTGGAAGCTGGTAATTGTCTCGTTCGCGTTTATCGACTAAGGTAAACTCGTAATAGCGCCTCAAGCATACCTAGTGACGAACATATCACTAAGTTTCTGAATTCAATATGATTTTTTTAAAAATCTTTCCTACTGATTAAGTTAGGTGTTCGCGCGTAAGCTCGCATGTCCCCGGGTTTGAATCCTGCGAGTAGCAGGAGTCGTAGATGCACACTGCCACTGATGAGTAGTCCGCACAACAGGACAAGACGACTGTCTTTCAATGCTTTCAGGTTGCTGCTAATGAAGCTTTAGAGTCAGTCAGTTGCAACGTAGAACTTCGTACGTATGTACATAAGTTCAGGTTGCCATACCACTACATTAGCACAGAGACGCAAATGTCAAATCAAATCCCATAATGATAGAAATAGTAGAGGTATTAACGGTAATGAAGAAGACTAGCGGATTCGAAGATATTATTCAAGAAGTATGATTAAGTGAGATAAGGTTAGAAGAAAGACAAAGGTAGAGGTGCTGACAAATCCAGAAGATTAGCATTTGAGAGAGCTCAACGAATTGATGCACTTGCGCCATGGCAAACGATTTTGAGCCACCATATCGTCCAAGTTCTCTAACCATCGGTGACAATGAAGCTTTAGAACAATAATTCATTCATGATTTTCACTAATCAATAAACTGTAGATATTCTTAATCCAAAACTCAAATCAAACTTTGAACTAACCACAAATTAACTACTACTTACTGTACAATATTTCTTTAAGAAATGAAACCAAAATTTTGATTGAATTAAAGAATTAGCTTTTGTTAAATATTCAATTATAAAATGATAATCGTAATTATCGCGTTTTTTCAACATTGTCTCCTTGAACAACACATATCGACGTATCAATGCATGAAGTAGACTCTGTGCAATATTACGATAATATACACTAGATTCAATTGAATCAAAATAACCAGTAAATAATGGACCCAACAGGCATAATGATAAAGCCACTGTTTGAATCGGATTATTATTCTCATTATGATGTGGTTGTTGTTGATGTTCTTCCTCATCTGTTTGTAATGATTCTTCTTGACAATGAGAATGAAGATGACAATGTTTTGACAATTTCTGTTTACATTTCAAACATTGATCAATGCTGGATGAGGAAGACAGTTGTTGTTGTACCATAGATGGTAAGCCTTTTATTTTTGAAAAGAGGAAAAAAAAACAACGCGAATACAAGAAGAAGCAGCAGTGAAAATACAATTTAAATAATATGCCAACTATGCCAGAGATAGACAGATAAAACACAGAACTTCGTAGGTACGTACGTAGATCAGTTCAGGTTGCCATACCATATCAGCACAGAGACGCAACTGTCAGAGTGATAACGATAGTAGAAGTATTAGCAGTAATGTAGAAGATTAAGGAGTGAAGATATGATTGGAGAAGTATAATTCAGTGAGATAAATTTAGAAGGAGAAAGACCAACTGAAGTTGCTACCTTGATGTGGTGGTCGGGCTTGCCTATTGTGATGACACAACCGAGCTATATTGCCTGGAACTTATGTTCCTGAAGGTTATACCATACCAGGCAGTTCGATTAAAGAACGATGAAACTAAATGCAGCTACACAAGGTCTGAGGGCGAAGTCGTACTGCTGACTGACTGTAGAGGGGTGTGACTGCAGCAGTGAGGTGTTTCCCTCGGACAACCAGCATTTGCAGAAATGCTGCCTTCTCTCTCACAAGGGAGGGAGGGTTAGAAAAGGTCGACCCTAAAAATGTCACACCTTACCCGACCTCACAGATTTCCGTCGCCTTGGGTAAAGGTGCCCACTAAGGGCTTCCAAGAGCGGAGCTAATCCTCAAAAAACCTTGAACGAAAAGGCCGTGCGTGACCGGCTTTAAGTAGTTGTTCCTTGGACTCTGCGGTCACGCACCCAGGTCTCTAAGACCAACGCTAATATACCTTCCTTTTCAGGTTCCTCAAGAAACAACCTTCCACGGTGTTGGCAGCCGGGAAGTGACAACCACCCTCACCCGTAACAACACACGAGACCAAATTGGTCACAATCAAACCCTTTCTACACCCCCTAACATTTCTCTCATCTCTAGGACTAACTTTTCTCACATTCCTTTATCTGAATGCAAGAGAAACAGTGATTTCAGTAAGAATCATGAAAAAAATCAAGACTGTCAAGACGAACGATGACTGCGCAATAACCTTGTATGTATTATTGATCAAAGCTAGACGTTAAAACCATCGGAAACCTGTTTAATGGTACAGACGTGCGCACGCGAGCCCGATATTCCTAGTTTCGAATCCTGCGAGAAGCAGGATTCTTGGATGCGCACTGCCACTAATGAAAATTCCCATACACTAAGACGACACGGCCGTCTTTCAGTGCTTCCAGGTTTCTAATGGTGGTCTAATACCAATGATCGAGTCATGATTTCAGTAATGACGACTAAGTCAAGTTTGGAGATGATTGAATTTCATTGAAATTATGAAACGATCTAAGTTAGACCACTAGTGAAAATTTGGAATCACTGCACGACTGCTTTATTAGAAGCTATGACCAGTGTGGTGAAACCGGATCGGATGTAAGGTAATCTCCTAAAGTGGTTAGTCAATATCATGGATTAGTTCAAGTTACACATGAATAGCGTTGGATTGCGAAGTGTTAGGTTGCGGAAGTGTCTTGATGAGAAGTCCCATACATGAGAGTTGAACGGTAGCCTAATGCTTCTAGGTTTTGAATGCCGGTTTAACCTAGATCTGAAGAGCTATGAACAATCGCAATCGAAAAGCGACAAGTAATTACGGACAAATATAATAACTGAAACCATAAATGAATCACTTTTAGACCAGTATTAGAAACCTGGAATCACTGAAAGATAGCCGTTTTTGGTCCTGGTATGGGACTTACTAGCAGTGAGCATCCACGACTTCTGCTACTCATAGGATTTACAAACTTCGGACCTTCGAGCTCGCTTGCGAACCTCTGGAGCATTAAGCAGGATTCCAACGGTGTTAACGTCTAGCTTTAATCAATACAAGGTTATTGCGCAACCTGACCCACTATCTTTGATGATAGGTAACTAACTGCTCATTCACGACAGGATTCAATAACACTGTTCATATCTTCCCAATAGAACTTCGAGAGTTACCTCACACAGCTAGTCAGTCACTAGTGAGTAAATTATTCAATTTCGCATTATAGTATTATGGAGATCGATGTTTCATACTGAATTCACGAATGACTAGCTTTGTGGTGAAATTCTCGAAGTTCTAGTGGAAACACGTGACCAATGGAGTTCAGCAGACAGATAGACAGATACAACGCAGAACTTCGTACATAGGTACATTAGTTCAGATTGCCATACCACATTAACACAGAGAAGTAACTGTCAGTTCAAATCCAAGAGTGATAGCGATAGTACAAGTATTAGCAGTAATGGAGAAGATTAGGGAGCGAAGATATGATTCGAAAAGTATAAGTTAGTGAGAATAACTCAGAAGGAGAAAGATAGAGATTATGAGGAATTCAGGTTAGAATTTGAGAGAACACAAAGAGTAGATGCACCTGCGCCATTGCAAACGATTTTGAGCAATGTTGTTCAAGGTCTCTAACCATCGGTAACTTTCGTCTCGCGGACCTCAACCAGGTAGCCTACATCTACCTACATGACTCAGTCCACCTGTTAGTAACTTTATGGATTTCTGCTATGTTTTGGTCTGGCCGCCCCTAACTTTCTTCCTACCTACTAATGGAGTTCAACCATGTTGAATGTAGGCAGTAACTACCGAAGACAATAGGTGTATTTATGCAAAATCCTTAGATTGATCAAAGTAAGAAAGTAACACCGTTGGATGACGACTCACTGGGCTAGAGGTTAAGCGTTCGCGCGCAACTCCGAAGGTCCTAGTTTCAATTCCTACCATTAGAAGTAATGAATGCACGCTGCCATTAAATAAGTCCTATACCAGGACGAAATGGCCACTCTTTCAATGCTTCCATGTTTCTTCTAATGGTTCGTGATCTAATAACAATGATTAATTCATGATTTCAATAAGTAACACTGTAATGCACAAAGTATGATAATAAATCAACCTACCAGCAAATAAAAATAAATTTCCCAAATCAAAAGTATTTCTTGTTTTTCTTCTTCTACTACTACAATACTCATTAGAAGAGTACACATTAGTTACATGACCAAAATGTATGAGAGGATAGGTAAATTGATGTTGACAATTGACAATTGATGCATCAGTCAACTGTTGGTTGTTGCTGTCACTATTGATCACTATGAGATCGCCGATGGATTGAAACCAACCATTGATTACAATCGATACCTAAGCATTATGGAAAAGTATAAAGGAAAACCATCAGAACGTTATTGATAAAAATGACTTTTTGAGGGACACCCACAAATAATTCTTTAATAAGATGGTGGAGAAGATTTGTAGCTCAGGTGGATGATTGTGGTGTTTGGTTCTCTGAGTTGAGGATGTTTTGGTTGCGAAGCTTTCATTGTTCTTCTGCTGAACAACACCATCAGCACAAAATTCAGATAGAAGAAGTGAAGCATCAGATCCACTTTCCACTCGTTAACGATGCTGACCAGCTACATAAAAATCTCCACATCTTCCAAAGCTTCTCAGTCAGTCAGTCAGATGCAACGTAGAACTTCATACATAAGTACATCAGTTCATGTTGCCATACCACATCAGCACACAGATGTAATTGTCAATTCAAATCCAATAGTAGAAGAGATTGTAAAAGTATTTGCAGTAATCGGAGAGGTTGTGATTAGAAAATACTATTCAAGAAGTATGATTCAATGAGAAAAGTTTAGAGAGTCGAAACTAGAGTTGTTGAAGAACCCAGAAGATTAGGGTTTGAGAGAACACAAAGAATAAGTGCACTGGCGCCATTGCGAACGATTTTGAGCCATGTCATTGATTCAAGGTCTCTAACCATCGATTATTATCATCTCGCGGACCCCAACCAGGTAGTCGACAATTACCGACATAACTCAGTCCACTCGTCAATGACTTCATGGATTTGTGCCATGTTTTGGTCTGGCCGTCCCTAGCTTTATTCCAACCTACTCCTACACTACAAAACAAAGCTCGACGAGGCAGTCGGTGGTTCGGCATACGCAACACATGTCCTAACCACCTCAACTGATGAAGTTTCACCACTTCATCGATTGATCTGCCATCCTTGCCTAGCACCCGTTTCCTAACAACAGCATTGCTTACTCGGCTGTCCCACGGTATACAAGCAATGATTCTCAAACATCTATGATCGAATACTGATAACCTACGAACATCTTCTACTCTCACTGGCCATGTTTCACAGCCATATAGGAGAACGGAACGAACTGCTGTACAGTACATTCGTCCTTTGATTAGAGAACGGATATCACACCTACGCCATAAGTGACGTAGGTCGGCAAAAGCTAATCGAGCCTTCTGTATCCGAGCTGAGATTTCGTCAGTCACCAGGCCATCAGCACTGATGAGACTCCCAAGATAAGTGAAGCGGTCTACACGTTCGACCACTTCACTTCCTATCACTAGTTCAGGTGCCGATGCAACCCAGTCTTGAAGCAACATTTTGCATTTCGAGGGGGAAAACCGCATCCCGAACATGCTTGCATAGTTGCTTATGGTAGCTTCTCCGTCAAGTGTGATTTGGTTGAATGCGCGTTGTGTTGTACCAGAGAATGTTGCTTTTCCTCTGGGTATGATGAGACCAGCTGCTGAGGCCCCTGCGACACTAGCCGTCCTCTCATGCATTTTGTTGTTGTTGTTGTGTGGGATAGATCTAGAAGATCTTTCAGCTCCGTCGGAGCTGTCCAGTATGTCCCATGCTTCCTTCCCCTTACACACTGATCTCTTCATAATCCAGTCGATCACCAGGAGAAAGAAAAACGGTGAGAGTAAGCAGCAACCTTGCCAGACACCGATCACTAAAGTCTAAAAGAAGGTTATAAATTAGTAAGAGAGAAATTAGAATAAGAGGATTTAAGGTTTGAGAACTGATATCAGCTATAATAAATGAACAAATTTCGCGCCAAAATCCAAGACTTGTTATTTCAAATCTGATTGGTTCGTTGACAAATTATGATTTCTTTAAAAGAACTATTCACGTACAACTTTTCAAAACTTGCAAAAAAACAAATGAAAGTTTCTTTTTTTTCCTAATTTGTTTTAATTAATTAATGAGTCAAGCACAACTACTAAATATACACACATCTTTTCACACAATTTTCACAACCTTTTTGTGAAAATAATTATTATTAAATCTAAACGAAACTATCATAACTAATGACTATTTAAGGAAAGTGAGATTATTTATGCGAATATACAGAGAGAGAGAGTATATGAACTCCATGTGATGATAGTTGAATACAGAGGATCCAGACAGATTCATAGTTTGAAAAAGTTTGAATCAAAATATTCAGTTTTTGAATTACTGATTGACCTAATTTTGAAATTTTACAAACAGAGTAAGTATCAGTCAGTAAGTCAGGTAATCAGTTAGTCAGTAAGCAACAACTTCGTATGTACTTGTGTACATCAGTTCACGTTGCCCATAGCACCAAATTAGCACACACTTACTTACTTACTTACTTACTTTCGCCTGTTACCCCCAATCGAGCATAGGCCGCCCACCAGTTTTCTCCAACCAACTCTGTCCTGGGATTCCCTCTCCAGTTCTGTCCAATGTTTGTTCATTCCTCTCATATCTTTCTCTATTTCTCGGCGTAATGTATTCTTTGGTCTTCCTCTTTTCCTTTTGCCTTGAGGGTTCCATGTGAGGGCTTGTCTTGTGACGCAGTTACGTGCTTTTCGTATTGTGTGTTCTATCCACTTCCACCACTTCTTCCTCATTTCCTAATCCACTGGAATCTGGTTCGTTCTCTCCCAAAGTAGGTTGTTGCTGATGGTGTCTGTCCAACGAATACGAAGTATTTTGCGTAGACAGCTGTTAATAAATACTTATATCTTCTGGATGATGGCTTTGGTAGTTCTCCAGGTTTCCGCCCCATACAGTAGAACTGTCTTGACATTTGTATTAAAAATCCTGATTTTGGTTTTGGTTGAAAGTTGTTTGGAGTTCCAGATATTTTTCAACTGTACAAATGCAGCCCTCGCTTTGCCAATCCGTGCCCTCACATCTGCATCGGATCCACCTTTCTCGTCGATGATGCTGCCCAGATATGTAAAGGTGTTAACGTCCTCCAAGGCATCTCCATCAAGAGTGATTTGGTTGGTGCATGTTGTGTTGCATCGGAGAATTTTGCTTTTTCCTTTATGTATGTTGAGACCTACTGCTGCAGAGGCTGCTGCTACACTGGTCGTCTTCTCTTGCATTTGTTGTTGCGTGTGCGATAGAAGAGCCAAGTCATCTGCGAAGTCCAGGTCGTCCAGCTGCGTCCTAACTGTCCAGTTGATACCGAAATTAGCACACACAGAGAGATGTAATTGTCAATTCAAATCCCATAATGGTAGAGGTAGTAACAAGTATAAGTAGCAATCAGAAAGATTACAGTTTGAAGATGTAGAAATAGGTAGACTATATTCAAACTTGGAAACCTATTTTCCTAATCAGTGCTGACTAATACGAAATCTAGGTCGGCACTGCATCATTAAATAATAATAACTAGAGCTGTTTAGTTTCGCATCTACCTGAAGTTTGTGCTGATGACGTTGTTCAACTCAAACATTCAGCTCAGTTAACGAAACTCCGACACAATTATCATCCACTTGAACTACAAAATTTTCCAACACCATCTCATTGTTTCACAACAAATTACAATTTTCCAACCGATGATTCATATTATCTTGGAATCGTGAATCAATCATTAGAAACCTGGAAGCAGTGGACAGCCGTTTCGTCCAGCTACTCGTAGGACTTGTGGATGCGCACGGCTAATGAGTCTCATATCAGAACCAAACGACAGTTCAGCGCCACAAGGTTTTGGAATAGTGGTCTAACAATTATTGATTCATAATTTCAATGTGTACCATTAGAAACCTGGAAGCACTATAAAGACAGCTGTTTCATCCCAGTATGTGACTGACTCTTCAGCAGTGCACATTCACGAGACCACGCATGACCACATAACGTCTAGGGACCACTCTAAAGCCCGACAGCATCCAACAGTGATAGATAGTATGATCAATTCGAATTATTGATAAGTTGATTGTGTTTACATTAAAAAAAAATGGAATAATATTGAATAAAACAAAAACAATCACATACTTTAGCATGAAAACTATTGATCCATTGAATCGACACAAACAAATGATTCCATTCTTCGTAAATGTTCAATTCTTTTGGGAAATTTAAACATACATCACCTAATAATAATAATAATGGTGGAATTTCATTGGTTCTATTTGTTTGATTCATTGAAACTTGTTGAGTCAAACGAAAATACAGGCATGAATAGATAGGTGATATCCAAATCTGTAAAACAATGTTGATATAAAAAATTAACAGTTATAGTGGTTGAAAGAGTTGCACCACTGTAAAACGCCTTATCAATAAATTTCTCATTTTTGTATTGGTTGATTGATATGTCGTTGCATTGATAGTTAGGACTGTATTTAATCAGTCATATTTGACTCGAAAAAAACCTTCACGTTACAATCATCACTGGCACACTTGGAAAGTGACTAGCAACTGAAACTAGGACATGTGTTTCAGCCTATATGGGACTCATCAGTTGCATGTTACTGCATCTCAGAGTTACTGTTCACTCTAAGACTAGAACCCAGTACGTTTTACTTCAAGCGCCAATTGGCTGTCTACATACCTAATGAGTTCAGACGGTCATTAGCTTTGCAAAGGGACTAGTCAATTGCAGTCCTAGCTATTGATAGGAAGAGTCAAACTACCGATATAAATGAACTAACCTTCACTTCATTGTACAAGCCGGTGGCTCTTTGAACTCAGTAGCTAAATGTATAACGCGATGGCGTTCGAGTTTCGGGATTTAGATAGATCCAGTCAACGAGTTTCAAAAAGGATGAAACGCGTGTCCTGGATTCAACTGCTAGCCACTAGTCATCTCAGTCTAGATTATCTTTTATAATTCAGTCAGATAATCGGTAAATAAATGAAATCATTAGAAACAGATTTCATCAAAAAGTCGATCACATTCGAAATACTGCTGAAACTAACGATGTTTGAAGAAAGTTTGTTCGTCAATGACAAATATTAAGCAAACAACAGTTTTGTGTGAAAAAGTCTTAACCCTAAAATCAAAGACTATTGTCAGTCAGTCAGTAGGATGGATTTAACTATGACCAGTTCGGTATCGTGTGCTGTTACAGGTATGGGAGCGAGTATCACTTCCCAGCTGTCAACACCATGAAGGTGTGTTTCTTGAGGAATCCAAAAAGGAAAGTAGATAAGTGAAGGTCTTAGAGACCGAGGAGCGTGACCGCAGAGTTCAAGAGAAAACTGCTTGAGGTCCGTCGCGCACTGCCTTTATATGAGTTCTTAAAAATGTTAGCTCCGCTCTTGTTTAAAAGTCCTTACCACCGGACAGTGAAATCCGTGAGGTAGGGTGAGGTGTGACACTTTTAGGGAGAAGTCGAAATCGCTGCAGATGCTGGTTTTCCGAGGCAAACACCTTACTGCTATCACACCTCTCTGCAGTAGTCAGCAGTACGACTTCGCCCTCAGACCTTGGGTAGTTGCTTTTAGTCTCATCGCTCTCTAATCGATTTGCCTGGCAAGGCAGAACCTATGGGAACATGTGTTCGAGCCGATATAGCTCGATCGGGTCATCAGGATATGCAAGCGCAGCCACAACATCAAGGTAGCAGCTACGGTCAAGCAGACACTATTGTACACGTACAAACTGAAAATATTAGTGAATCAACCAACTTCCAGTAGCCTGCAGTAAGAACAATAACAGTGGACCAATAAGTAGATAGAATTTTAACTACTCACATTTTCGACCTGCAAATATATATATATATATATATATATATTGAGATCAGAAAGTTTGTACAGTCAGCTTTCGCTTCCTAAATGATCTTACATGGCCATGTATTATGTTCGTCACTAAGTATGCTCGAGGCTATTAAGAGTTTACCTTAGTCGATAAACGCGAACGAGACAATGAACCAGCGTCCAGACAGGCTACTTTGAATCCCAAACTGCAAAACAGAAGTCTTAATAAGCGTAGAAAGTATATTTCTACAAACACCCAGCAATCACAATACAATCAAGCACGAAACTCTCGTTTATTTATATATCATAGAAACGTCCTTAGGACAGTTAACAAAAATAGTACACTAAAATACACAGCAGCCAATCACACAGCCATGGATTTTCCTGGTTGATGGGAATTGAAATCTCAAGGTCAACTAATCATCTCATGCTGGAAAAGGTGAGTGAAATCCAAAATAAGGCATTCATCAAGCGAGTTTTGGAGATCTAACAACATCCCCAACACCATGAATGTAAAGGTACTGGACAAGGAATTCTTACTCACTGCTTTCTCGTGACGAAATATTGTTCATGAAATCGACAGAATGAAAACTGAACACATTCAATCGGATTATCATCGATAAGTTATTGACGAGGCTACTGAACTGCTTCTGATTTTTTTTTTAATGTAACAATCTAATCATGTAACAACACATGTGTAACACACACACACACACAATATGAAATTCATGTTTTTTTTTCTATATTAACTCAATTGTCTAATGAATAAAATCATCCTTCTTTTTTATACGTTTAACATATATATATATGATTGATAGATGTTGATGAGATGTCGATTAATTATAGTTAACCAAATAATAAATTCAACAACAATCAAATAGAGATCAATATTATTCCTTAATTGTGATTATTGTCAGTCAGTCAGTCAGATGCAACGTAGAACTAGGTACGTAAGTACATCAGTTCATGTTGCCATACCACATTATTAGCACAGAGATGTAATTTTCAATTCAAATCCAATAGTAGTAGAGTTAGTAAGGGAATTAGAAGTAATCGAAGAGGTTAGGATTAGAAGATATTATTATTCAAGAAGTATGATTTAATGAGATAAGTTTAGAAAGTAAAAACTAGAGGTGTTGAAGAATCCAGAAGATTAGGATTTGAGAGAACACAAAGAATAAATGCACCGGCGCCATTGCGAACGATTTTGAGCCATGTCATTCAAGGTCTCTAACCATCGATTATTATCATCTCGCCGACCCCAACCAGGTAGTCGACAATTACCGACATGACTCAGTCCACTTGTCAATGACTTCATGGATTTGTGCCATGTTTTGGTCTGGCCGCCCCTAGCTTTCTTCCAACCTAGTCCTACACTACAAAACAAAGCTCGACGAGGGAGTCGGTGGTTGGGCATACGCAACACATGTCCCAACCACGTCAACTGATGAAGTTTCACCACTTCATCGATTGATCTGCTCAGTTGATAAACGAGAACGAGAACGAGACAATGAACTAGTGTGACACGTTAGGGGCTACTCTAATCCGTTGCCCCGAAAGAATTGACAAAACAGAAGTCTTGATATAGTGTATGGAAAGTGTATTCATTCTACAAATACCCAACAAACACAATACAATCAAGCGAAAAAAATCGCGTTTATTTATACATCATAGAAATGTCCTTGGGAGAGTCATGAAAATAGCTTACTAAAATAATACACAGTAACCAATCGTAGCCAAAGAATTTCTAGGTTGAAATTTATAATCTTAAGGTTAGACAGATACAACGCAGAACTTCGTACGTAAGTACATCAGTTCAGGTCGCTATAACACATCAGCAGAGAAACCCAACTGTCAGTTCAAATCCAAGAGTGATAGCGATAGTAGAATTATTAGCAGTAATGGAGAAGATTAGGGAGCGAAGATATAATTAGAGAAGTATTATTCAGTAAGATAAATTTAGAAGGAGGAAGATAGAGATTATGAGGAATTCAGAAGATTAGAAATTAGAGAGAACACAAAGAGTGGATGCACCTGTGCCAGTGCAAACAATTCTGAGCCATGTCATTTACGGTCTCTAACCATTGGCGACTTTCGTCTCGTGGACACCAACCAGATAGCCTACATCTACCAACATGACTCAGTCCACTTGTCAGTGGCTCTATGGATTTGTGCCATGTTTTGGTCTGGCTGAACCTAGCTTTCTTCCAATCCTACCTCTACATCACAAAACATTGCAAGTCCAGGAAGTCGGTGGTTAGGCATTCGTAACACATGTCCCAACCACCTCAACTGATGAAGTTTCACCACTTCATCTATTGACTTGCCATCCCTAACAAGAATTCGTTTCCTAACGACAGCATTGCTTATACGGTCTTCCCAGGATACACGAGCAATGGTTCGGAGACACCGATGATCGAAGACTAGTAACCCACGAACATCTTCTACTCTTAACGGTCATGTTTCGCATCCATATAGAAGGAGTGAGAGAACTGTTGAGCAGTGCACCCGTCCTTTGGTTAGCGAGTGGATATCTTGCCTACGCCATAAACGGCGTAAATTGGCAAAAGCGAATCCAGCTCTCTGTATCCGCGCTTAGATTTCGTCAGTCACTAGGCCATCAGCACTGATGAGACTCCCCAGATAAGTGAAGTGATCAACACGCTCGACTACTTCACTCCCTATCACTAGTTCAGGTGCCAATGCAACCCAGTCTTGAAGCAACATTCTGCATTTCGACGGTGGGAACCGCATCCCGAACATGCTCGCATTGTTGCTTATGCTAGTCAGAAGACTCTGCATTTTGTCAGCATCTTCACCGAATAGAACTATGTCATCGGCATATTCTAGGTCAGTAAGCGATTTTCCTGGTAGAAATTTGACTCCTGAAAATTCAGACGAGGATAAGGTTACATCTAGCAGCATGTCTATGACAACATTAAACAAGAATGGAGAGAGTGGACATCCCTGACGGACACCACTTGAACTAAAGAATTCCGTTGACAGTTCGCCATATGCTCTCACCCGACCCGTAGTTTTAGAGTAGAAAGCTTGGTGTACACCATTCACAAGCTAATGCTTACAGAAAAAACAAGCCAACAACAATCATTGTATACACACACATACTTGAAGAGATACATAACTGCAATTAGATGATAATAATTGATCATCCGATGTATCGATCGGTGATTGCGATGTGGATTGATGACAAGAACATTCAGATGATGATGAAAACATAATATCTAAACTGATTAAATGTTGTAAATGATTCAATTGTACATGTCCGAGAAGATCCATTTCAGATAATCGACTAAAATTTGGTTTATTCTATTAATATAAACAAAAGATAAAAAGATTCAAAATGAAACAAACTAATTGTACAACAACACATTAAAACAAAATGTTATGGATATATATACAATTGAACAGTGAACAATGCTATTTTTAATTGGAGTTCAACCCTATCGGGTGTAGGCAATAACTACCAAAGACAATGTTGGGTGAGGTGGCGCCAAATTCCTAGATCAATCAGAGTTAGACATTAACGCCGTTGGATGCCGGCCAAGTGGTCTGATGGTTAGGCGTCCGCGCACAATACCGAAGGTCCCGGGGTTGTAATCCTGCGAGGTGTAGGAGTCGTGGATGCGCACTGCCATTGATGAGTCCCATACTAGAACGAAACGGCTGTCGTTCAGTGCTTCCAGGTTTCTAATGATGGTCTAACAATGATTGATTGATTCATGATTTCAAATGTGTAAAAACACTGACCTTCAAAACTCTGCCCCAAAAATATTCGAATTAACTTTTGTTATGATGTACAATGTCCATGATCAGAAATGTCATAAGATGCTAACAGAACCTTCTATAATCCGACTACTTGAGTGAGTGTGGAAGAGAGAAAGTTTATTTGGCTAATGAATAAAATACAGTAATTACTCATTTACACAGGTATATTCCTTTCCCTTAGAGAAAATGAGTCTATTTATTGACGAATGGATATGTAGGACATTGCTAATGGTTATCGAAAGACATTCATGTAACGCTACATAGTTTTCATTTGTTATTTACATGTTATATATACATATATTCTTAGGCAATTGACGGTTAGATGAACTAATCAGTCATTCAGGTGGCTAGAACGTAGAACTTCGTACGTACGTATGTATGTACATCAGTTCAAGTTGCCATACCACACATAAAAACACAGCGGCACAATTGTCAATTCAAATCCCATAAGAGTAGAGGTAGTAGAAGTATTAGGAGTAATCGGAGAGATTAACATCCGAATATATAAAATTCGAGATGTAAACCACAGAGGAATTGATTTAAGAAATGAGGAAACAAACAGTTATGAGGAATTGAGAAGATTAGGATTTGAGAGAACACCTGCATTATTGCAAACAATTTTGAGTCATGTCACATTCAATCATCTCACTGACCTGAAACAGGTAGTCTCTGCACCTACCAACACATTTCAGTTCATTAGTCAGTGACTTCATGGATGTGTGTTGTTGTGTTTCAATTAGGCCACTCCTAGCTTTCTTCCAATCGTACCTCTACATCGAAAAACACTGCTAGTCGAGGTAGTCGGTGGTTAGTTGGGCATACGTGTCCCATACTGATAAAGATCCTCTACTTCATCAACTAAATTTGCTATCCATTCACATTGCAGGGTTGTTCTGAAGATTGTTAAGTTTTATTTGTAACCATGAATCGATCAATGTTAGACCACCATTAGAAACCTGGAAGCACTGAACGACCGTTTCGTCCTGGTATGGGACTCATCAGTGGCAGTGCGCACCCACGACTCCTGCTCCTCGCAGGATTCGAACCCAGGACCTTCGGTATTGTGCGCGAACGCCCTAACCGTTAGACCACTGAGCCGGTATCTAACGGTGTTGTTAATGTCTAACTTGATCAAATCCACGGAGTTGCGCGACCTCATACCCTGTATACATCCGGACAGGTTTACACCCAGTTCTCCTAGTTCCTAAACTTTATCAATTATTATTCATATTTCATTTGAGAGATAAAAACACACACACACAGAGAGACACAAGAAATAAATAAAAACAACATCTCACCCGACAATTCCATCGTTTTCCATGTAAACATAACCATGTTGATAAGCTTAAACTATGATGATGATGATGATTATGATGAAATGTCGTAGAGAACAACGATTGATCACCACCACCACCACCATGTTGTCGTCTATTGAACATTGACGTGGATAATGGACAAATCACATTGAATAATTGATCATATAAACATCTTTGATTAGCCACAATCTCTTGTTGACTATGATTATCATTGTTCACCGTGAATGGGCTAGCATAACTATATGCGCATTGATGATGATGAGCGGTTGGTTGTAAGTAAGGAGGAGGAAGAAATTTCCTGTAGACTGATGATGAACTGAATGATAATAATTTTGGCCAACTAGTATATTGCAATGGTATAAGAGTATTGTAAGTTTGAATCCAATCAATAAGTAGCTGGAACATTTGACGTGTAACCTGAAGAGAATAAGAAGAAGACAAACGGTGGGTAAAAGATAAATCAATTGCTGTTTTTTTTCCTTGAAACCAACCATTGATCACTGTTAGAAACGTGAAAACACACTGGAATATGGTCGTTTCGTCCTAGAGTATGGGACAACTAACTCATCAACAGTGCACATCCACTACTACCCTTCAGGGCTACTGCCGGTCCCAAGCCCGAATAAAAGAGGAGGGTTGGGCATGGGGGGTTGGCGACCCTATCTCATCAAAAAACTAACTTGCCAAAAAATAAAACGCTAACCAGAGGTAATAATTCAAACCATTTTAACGCTGCCCTGAGAGTTGGAAGAAGAATTATGACGTCGCGAGATCAAAGCCGAATTCCATCGGGGGTCACGCGGCCGAGGCCTCTTCTGAAAACCAGAGCAATCATTCTTTTAGGTACATGGAACGTTCGTACATTGTGGGAGACTGCGTCACAAGACAAGCCTTCACTTGGAACCCTCAAAGCAAAAGGAAAAGAGGAAGGCCAAGGAACACATTACGCCGAGAAATAGAGAGACATGAACAAAAATTAGACAGAATTGGAAAGGGAAGCCCAGGATAGAGTTTGTTGGAGAATACAGGTTGACGGCCTATGCTCCATTGGGGGTAACAGGCGAAAGTAAGTAAGTAAGTAAGTTTAGTTGTATAATTATTTTCAAAAGCAACGAGATGATCAGTTTTGTGTATTACATTCCCTTTTAGCATAAGCTTTTCATTATTCTTAGCAGAAGCACGGACTACAGTAGACTATTCGGATAAAGCTGAATGATATGGACATCATGTTCTACACCTTCTATGCCGTACAAGCAACAACAAATGCAGCTGAAGACGGACAGTATTACAGAAACCTGTGAAGCAGTAGGTTTCAATATATGCACAAGAGAAAAAGGCAAGATTCTCCGATACAATACAACACAATATGCACCAACCAAATCACATTTGACGATAAAACTTTGGTAAATGCTGAAAGCTTTACATATTTAGGCAGCATTATTGATGAACAAGGTGGATCTGATGCAGATGTGAAGGAGTAGATCGGTAAAGCAATAACAGCATTTCTACAATTAAAGAACAACATCTGGAACTCTCAAAACAACTATCGTCCAACACCAAAGTCAGAATTTCCAAATACAAATGTGAAGACAGTTCTACTGTATGGAGCGGAAACTTGGAGAACCATGAAAGCCATCACTCATAGGATACAGTTGTTTATTAACAATTGTCTACACAACACACTGAGGATCCGTTGGTCAGACACTATATCAGCAAAGAACAAACCAGATTCTTTTTATCTCAGAAAGAAGTTATAAAAAGGGCGCTGGAAGTCGATAGGACACAGAATGAGGAAAGAACTCAACTGCCTCAACTGGAATCCTCAAGTACGAAGGAACAGATAGATAGATACCAAAGAACTTATTATGCAGAGAACTGGAAACAAACATGAGAAGAATAGATACCGATTGGGTAGAACTGGGAAGAAAGGTCCAGGATACAGTAGGCTGAAGAAGAATGATGATGGGTGGCCTGTGCTCGGTTCGATTCCTGTGAACAAATAACATTGGTGCGCACAGCTAATAAGTAGTCCCATACTAGGATGAAACGACCGTCTTGGATGATGGTCGCATAATATCATTGTTATGCCTGCATGTAAACACGTCAACCTGATATGCTTGAACTATTATTACGAGTTTACCTTAGTCGGAAAACGAGAGTGAGGATCGAGGATCCGGTGACACGACATGCTACCCTAATCCGATTATCCCAACCCCCATATTGAGTAAAAATAAGAAGACTTGAATGTGAAGCAGAACTTGTATTCTACAAGCATCCAGAAAGTACGTGGTCCGAATCCAGAAGAGAAACAGGATGCCGGACTAGGGATTCGGGACCGGGTCCTGGTCGTATTTATACATTATGGTCGAATAGGAAACAACATCAAAGTCTTTGACATCGGCGGTTAAGAAGACCAATAGGAAGCAAAATTTGAAGTGACATTGAGAGTTAAGTCGACCAATAAGAAACAACACTGGAGCACGTGACATTGATATCTAGGACGATCATAAAATTGACCAGTAGAAATTAGCCAATAAGAATTGACCAATATTGCTCTTAGGATATTGGATGAATATCTCTTAACAAATAATCACAATAAACAACTGGTATTTGTCATTGAAAACCAAAAAGCTAGTGGTCAGGTATTTTATTCTAAAAATACAAGATACTTCAACACTAATGCAACTAAACTAACCAACAACAAAGAATCGACCTAATCCAAGATTTTGAGATGGTGGAGAAAACTTGTAGCTCAGGTGGATGATTGTGGTGGTGTTTCGTTCTCTGAGCTGGTTGTTTTGGTTGTGGAGCTTTCATTGTTCCTCTTCTGAACAACATCATCAGCACAAAATTCAGATAGCAGAAGTGAAGCATTAGAATTTCTCCACGTTTGACCTGTAGCTTGATCTGCTAACCTCGATCTTGATTGGTTGTTGTTGACCTTTGACCTGTCGTTGTTTGCAATAATGTTTTGATTGCCTCCCTCTTTTGATCTGTTTCTTGATCTAGTGTCACCTATGATTTTCCTGATTGGTTGATAAATTGGGTCAATGTCGACGTGTTTGTTGAGTGCTGATTGACCTGAGTGCCAAGCTTCTAAAAATTCTCTAGTGTTCTTTGTCCTCCCCCTACTCAGTATTTCCACGTTGTTCCAATCAAATGTGTGTCCATAATTGTCGGTGTGTATTGATATAAGCGAAGCGTTGTCGTGGCGTTTGACTGCTAATTGATGTTCACGTAAACGGATCTGAAGAGGTCGTCCACTTTGTCCTATGTAGTGTTTTTCACAGTCTGAGCAATTTATTTTGTAGATGATATTTGGTTGTTCTTCCTTTGTTATTTTGTCCTTTGGTCTACATAGGATTGATTGAAGTGATTCTGTTGGTTTGTGTGCTACACCTATTCCAAATGGTTTCAGTAGTCGTGCCGTATGTTCCGATATGTCTTTGATGTATGGTAGGATGATGATGCGTTTATTTGTTCCTGTGCTTGATTTCGCTTCTGATGATGGTTTTGGTTGATGTTTTTTGATGAAGTTGCGTGGATAGCCGTTCTTTTGGAAGATAGTCATCAGGTGTTTTTCCTCGTTTTTTAATGTTTCGTATGTGCTGCAGTGTGTCTTCGCTCTCTTGAACAGAGTTTGTATGCAGTTAATCTTGTGGGTTCTTGGGTTGTTGCTGTCGTAGTTGAGAATTACGTCGGTGTGGGTTGGCTTCCGAAATACTTGAGTTTCTAGTTTTCCTGTGTTAGTTCTGGTGATTAGTACATCCAGGAATGATAGGCTGTTGTTTGATTCCTTTTCCATCGTGAATTTGATGTCATCAAAGACGTTGTTGATCTGATTGTAGATGTTCTCCACCTCTTTCCTTTTGATAATAACAAACGTGTCGTCTACATAGCGAACCCACAATTTTGGCTTGATCACTGGCAGAATCGACGCTTCCAGTCTCTGCATTACCGCTTCGCCGAATTCCATCGTCATAGAGCACGATAATTATCTAGTTCGCTCTTTTCAACCAAATTAAAACCCAACTCATCAAACACGAATTCACATTCGAAAAATACCAAAAAACAAAAACACAACACAACAGAAAATGAACATCAGAAAGAACATCTGTTACTTACATATGGATAGATATGGTTGATTTGATTGGAATTTATTGCCTGTCCTGTAAGAGGATCACCTTCATTTTCATCGTCATCATAAACAGTGTTATTGTTTTGATCAAGGGTATCAATGCTTTCAGCGGTGTTTTTTTGCGCTTGTCTTAAATCATTCATTATTAAATGTAGAAAATATTGTAAAGATTTTACATTGAATACACCAAGTGACAAGGAATGATGATGGTTTGTTTGACATGGTTGAATCGATCGAATATTTTGTGGTATCCTCATTAAACATCGTAATAAATTTAAACAACTTAATCGAATAACTAGTGGAATATGTGTATTGCATGCGAAAAGAAAGGAAAAAGGTTACTAAGTTTAGAATTGTACATGATAGGGATGATATATATATATAAACAATTCATACTACTTACTAATTAACCCTTAATGGAGGAGCGTTGGCCACCAACCAACATTCTCCAATCTACACTGTCCTAGGCCTTCCTTTCCAGTTCTATCCAAATGATGTTCATTCTTCTGATGTCTGTTACCATTTCTCCGAGTGATGTGTTCTTTGGCCTTCCACTTTTCTTTTAACTTTGAGGGATTTATGCGCGGGTTTGTCTTGTAAGGCAGTTGGATGCTTTCCTCAATGTATGTCCTATTCATTTCCACCACTTCTTCCTGATTTCCTCCTCTGCTGTAAGCTGGTTTGTTATTTCTCACAGTAGGTGGTTGGTGATGGTGTCTGGCCAACGAATCCAAAGTATTCTGAGTAGACGACTGTTGATAAATACTTGTATCTTCTGGATGATGCCTTTCGTAGTTCTCCAAGTTTCTGCCAAATACAGTAGAACTGTCTTGACATTTGTACTGAAAATCCAGATTTCGGTGTTGGTTGATAGTTGTTTTGTGAGTTTCAGATGTTTTCCTTCAAGTTTAGAAATGCTGCCCCTGCTTTCCCGATCCGCTCCTTCATATCTACACCAAATCCACCGTGCTTACCAACGATCCTGTCTGTGTGCTTGTAGAATACACTTCCTGAGCTTTGTCAAGACTTCTTGCAATTGTTAGCCGGGAGGCTGGGACAATCAAATCAGAATAGCCTATCGGGTCATTGTCTTCGCTCCGTTTACCCCAGTAAGGTGAACTCGTAATAGCATTTAGGCATATCAACTAACGAAAATAGTAAATAGTAAAACTTAAATTTACTCATTTTGATTGAAAGTAAATGATACAGAATTCCAAAAAGAAAGGACTTACTTGGACAATTTGATATTTTGGTCATCAATTTTAAAATCTCTTCAATCAATTGATCAATATTCGCCTGAAAAAAAAACACAAAAAGAATACAAAAATTAAAAACAAATAATTTTTTTCCAAAAAAATTTGTTAGTCTATGGCTGTGGAAATTATTGAGTTCAAACGAGGCGAAAGATCGGTCAATGTCAGATCACCATTGGAAACCTGGAAGTACTGGATGGCTGTTTCATCTTGGTATGGAACTATTCATCAGCAAAGCATATCCAAGACTCTCGAACGCCGGAATCGAACTCAAGAAAACAGCCACTAGACCACGGAGTCAGCATCCAACTCTGTCGATGTCTAACTCGAATCATTATGGTGGTGTTTCGTTCTGTCAGTTGGATGTTTTGGTTTTCATTTTCATTTTACTTCTGAACAACATCATCAGCACAAACTTCAGACGAACAATGAAAGCTGCACAACCAAAAAGTCGAGCTCAGAGAACGAAACACTACCACAATCATCCACCTGAACTAAAAAAATTTTCCCACTATCTCATAACTTCAATCAATCCATGATTGTTAGGATATTCAACCAATATATCCTAAGAGAATTATTGGTCAATTCCTATTGGTTAAATCCTACTGGTTAATTTAATGTTCGTCATAGATATCAATGTCACGTGCCCCAATGCTGTTTCTTATTGGTTGTCCGGACTATCAATGTCACTTCAAATGTTGCTTCTTATTGGTCGTCTTAACTGCCAATGTCACAGACTTCGATGCTGTTTCCTATTCGACCAAAATGTATAAATACACATTATCTGTAACGTTTTATGACCGAACTAGGGATCCTGATTCTCTTCTGGATTCGGACCTCGTACTTTATGGATTCTTGTAGAATACAGGTTCTACTTCACATTCAAGTCTTCTTATTTTTATTCAATATGGGGGCTGGGATAATCGGGTTTGAGTAGCATGTCGTGTCACCGGATCCTCGATCCTCGCTCTCGTTTTCCGACTAGGTAAACTCATAGTAATAGTTCAAACATATCAAAATGACCTGTTTACATGCAGGCATAACAATTATATTATGCGACCATCATCCATTGTCTTCGATGGGTAAGTGACTCACATCCGACAGGGTTGAACTCCACTGGTAGTCATGGCTTCTTACTAGAACTCCGAGAATTTCCTCACAAAGCTAGTCAACAGTAAGCAGGTTTTATGATTCCCATTATAGGTTCATGGAGATTGCTGTGTTTCATTGAAATCCTGAATCAATGCATGAGGTCGCGCAGTATAATGGAACGATTGAATTTAGACATTCATACAATTGAGTGGCAGCTTAGTCGTCTAGAAGTCAGGCAGTCACATATGAGACTGAATGATCTGGGTTTGATTACCGGGTGTCATGGTCGCGGTTTCGAACTGCTGATGAGTACCATACTAAAACCGAAACGACCGGGCGGTGATTCCAAGTTTATAAAAGTAGTCTAACACAGAATGACTCATGATTTTAATTATATAATCAGTGTCATTTCATTGTAAGCATTATATACAAACAGTAGGTCTTCATGACTCATCATTATTAACGTTAGGAAACAGCAACGACGAAGGATGTTCAGTGATGTACGAGTAGATTGGAAGAAAGCTATGAGGCGGCCAAACAAAAATATGGCACAAATCCACGAAGTCATTGACAAGTGGGCTGAGTTTTGTTGATAGATATAGACTACCTGGTTGGGGTCCGCGAGATGATAGTAACCGATGGTTAGAGACCTTGAACGACATGACTCAAAATCGTTTGCAATAGCGCAGGTGTATCCACTCGTTGTGTTCTCTCAAATTCTAACCTTCTGATTTCCTCACCACCTCTATCTTTCTCTTTCTAAATTTATCTCACTGAATTGAGTAATATCTTCGGACACTAATCTCCTCGATTACTGCTTATACTTTTAGTACCTCTATTACTATCGGATTTCAATTGACAATTCCATTTCTCCCTGTGTTAATATGGTATGGCAATCTGAACTGATGTACGTACGTAGGTACGATGTTCTACGTCGCAGCTGTCAGTCAATCAGTTGCAACGTAGAACTTCATAGGTATGTACATAAGTTCAGGTTGCCATACCACATTAACACAGATACACAATTGTCAAATCAAATCCCATTATGATAAAGATATTAATGGTAATGAAGAAGACTAGGGTTTGAAAGTATTATTCAAGAAGTATAATTCAATAAGATAAGGTTAGAAAGACAAAGGTAGAGGAGCGGATGAATCCAGAAGATTAGGATTTGAGAGAGCTAAACGAATGGATGCACTTGCGCCACTGCAAACGATTTTGAGACATGTCGTTCAAGGTGTCTAACCGGAAAACACATGTCCCAACCACCTCAACTGATGAAGTTTCAATACTTCATCTATTGATCTGCCATTCTTACCTGGCACCCGTTTCCTAACGACAGCATTGCTTACTCGGTTGTCCCACGATATACGAGCAATGCTTCTTAAACATCTATGATCGAATACTAGTAACCTACGAACATCTTCTACTCTTAACGGCCATGTTTCACAGCCATATAGGAGAACGGAACGAACTGCTGCGCAGTACACCCGTCCTTTGGTTAGCGACCGGATATCACGCCTGCGCAGGTTGACAAAAGCCAATCGAGCCTTCTGTATCCGAGCTGAGATTTCGTCAGTCACCAGGCTATCAGCACTGATGAGACTTCCCAGATAAGTGAAGTGATCAACACACTCGACTACTTCACTCTCTATCACTAGTTCAGGTGCCGGGTAGGCAGCCGGGAAGTGATAACCGCCCTCATACCCGCAACAGCACACGAGACCAAATTGTTCAAAATTATCTACAATAAACAAATAAATCTTACAATTCATACTTACTTGTAAATATTTATCTTTCATTGAATGTGCACGTCCATGTAGAATGGACGAATTCAATATTATACTAAAATAATTCGTTGTAATTTGTGATAAACAATTTGACCATATTTGATTTTCACATGTTATGGAGACATTGTCATTTGCCCGAACAGCACACAATGACGATGATTTGAAATGTAGACAACAGCTAAGTAGTGCTAGATTGTGTAAACTTAAACGTAGAAATAATCTTGATGAAAATACCCATAATCTTAGAGATTGTGGATTATATTTGAATATGATTGCACTGTCATTGTGACGATTTGATTTATCTGTTTTAAATAGAGAAATATATTGAGAATTGAATTTTTTTTCAGAATAAAATAGCTCTGATAAGCTTGTGAACATGGTTCAATTTTTCAAATTATTCAATAGATAATTGAATTAAAAGGCATTGAACCTTGAGCAACTACTTATCAACCAATCAGAAAATTCTAATTTGTGTTAAATTACTCAACAGCTAAACACGCCATAAAATATGAGTGGAATAACATATTTGATCTAATTAATTCAACTTTCACATGTTGAATGAAAAGGCTAAGCGCACCTATCAGAAATCGAGTTAATGTTTATGAGTTAAGCTTATTATTGTACAAAATGAAAAAGGCTAGGCTTAGGTAATAAATAAAAGTTAAGCTGGAGTTTCGGGGCTAAGTTTTTCTCATTACGGTTAGCGTTTTCATTACGAATTCACATTGGCTATGATGCAATACTTTGTCATTCATTCTGTTGTTAACAAACTTTAGAGACGTATAGTCGAAATTTAGAGTAAGTGACAGTAAAGAAAAATATTATCTAGCTTTAATAAACACTCCTGACAATGAGTTGAGTGACAACACGTAATTTAATACACAATATGATGAGGTGGCAAATGGGTTGATGACGTAGTGAATGCTTATCAGTTGAGGTGGTTGGGAGGCCAAATCAAAACATGGCCCAATTCCATGAATTCATTGACAACTGGACTGAACTCCGTTAGTAAGTGTAGACTACCAGTTGGGGTCCATGTAGTGACCTTAACAAATGCTTTGGGGCTTTGAATGACATGGTTCAAAATCATTTGCAATGGCGCGGTTGCATCCATTCTTTGTCTACTCTCAAATTCTAAACTTCGTAATTCTTCATGACCGTTTTCCCTCTTTTTAATTTATCTCACTGGTTTATACTACTCGAATTATATCTTTGATACTTAATCTTTTCCATTACCTCTAATACTACTAACACAATCACAACTACTATGAGATTCGAACTGATGATTCCACCTGTCTGTGCTAATGTGATCCCACTTGAATAAATTGGTTTGGAGCTCAAGGAATAACTAAGAAGCTTACTCCTAAATGAAATAAACACTGATGATCCTGTCTAGAACTACAATGAAAGCTCTACAATTGAATACTAAAATACATAAAACTCAACAACAGTGACGTATATCTATTACGTAGTCGACAGGAAGTCGGCTAACTTAGTTCTCCGATCCATGAAACTGGATGACACAGTCAAATTATCCAGGAATCACCATTTCCTTTACGACTACATACAGATCCTGGCACCTGCACCTACGCAACAGATTGATCACTACGTAGTGGTCGATCATTCGCATATATATATATATATATGTTCTGGGTCAACTAACATCCCTGCAGTAAATGCACGTATGCTGCTTTTACACATCACGTAGGTCCACACGACTGCCGTAAAATGATTCTCTTTGTCCAAGGGGGTACGAACATGTTGACTAGATTCTCGGACATCCAATCAGTGTACGCAAAAACAGTCATTCCCGGAGGTGCTTATGAGACGGCTCGATCCCTCCAAGCATACCACGATTCACAATCCTCAGTTGGCAAGGGCAGCAAGGCGGGTTTACCCAGCTAGTTCTCGCTCCCTGCACGAGTTGCCGAGTCAACCAGTAGTGCACTAACTAGCCGCCATTCCAACCAACTGGTCTCCAACTGCTTCACGCTAGAACAATCGACCAAAACCCTCAAAATCTCTAATAAAGCCAAGGATCGATTATTTCACAAGGTCAGCCAGAACGTGCACCTTCCCATGGGGTAGATGTCAAGTACCCGACCGAGCGCAAGCACTCAGCCAAGCTGGGCAAATCCCACTACATAAGAGTAGGTGTACATCATGTGCCAACAAGCGCCAGTTCAGCACAGGATCCCATTCACCCAACTGAAGACAGTTGTTTAAGGGGCCTCGAAGCCATTTGACACACTACACCGAGGCATGCAGTGTTCCGGACAACCACATAGGGTCACTTTCAACAAAGCTGGAAATCTACATCCCTTTTAAAGGAATTCGCTACACCAAGAATGATAGAAGACAAGTCCTCGAAACATTATTTCAATTTACCGAGATTCCCACTTAGAGGCGTTCAGTCTTAATCCCTTACAGTGGCAAATTCGCATCCATGGCCTTGCGACCGCGTACATGTACCATTATTCTGTACCATGTTAAGCACGCTATCCTAGACATTCAGAACGACATTTAGTTGCAGCTCTGTAAAAACAACACCATGTTGCCTAGCAGGATAACGAAGAGGTAATCGACACCACAACCCCCAAAAGGTTCTATTTAGCTCATGTGATCGTCAATTAGTCAGTCAGTCAGTCAGTTGCAACGTAGAACTTCGTACGTATGTACATAAGTTCAGGTTGCCATAACACATTAACACAGATACACAATTGTCAAATAAAATCACATAGTGATAAAAATAGTAGAGGTATTAATGGTACTGAAAAAGACTAGGGTTTGAAGATATTATTCAAGAAATATAATTCAGTGAGATAAGGTTAGAAAGACAAAGGTAGAGGTGCTGACGGTTCCAGAAAATTAGGATTTGAGAGAGCTAAACAAATGGATGCACCTACGCCATTGCAAAAGATTTTGAGCCATGTCATTCAAGGTCTCTAACCATCGATTACTTTCGTCTCGCGGACCCCGACCACGTAGCCTACATCTACCAACATGACTCAGTCCACTTGTCAGTGACTTCATGGATTTGTGCCATGTTTTGTTCTGACCGCTCCTAGCTTTCTTCCAATCTACTCCTACACTACAAAACATAGCTCGTCGAGGCAGTCGGTGTTTAGCCATACGTAACACATGTCCCAACCACCTCAATTGATGAAGTTTCACCACTTCATCTATTGCTATTGCCATCCTTACCTAGTACTCGTTTCCTAACGAAAGCATTGCTTACTCGGCTGTCCCACGATACACGAGCAATGCTTTTTAAACATCTATGATCGAATACTAGCAACCTACGAACATCTTCTACTCTTAACGGCCATGTTTCGCAGCCATATAAGAGAACGGAACGATCTGCTGCGCAGTACACCCGCCCTTCGTCAATTAGATAATGAGGCATTTGGTACTTTAAGAGTGTCATAATTACTCCCGCCTATATATATATATATATATATATATATATATATATATATATATATATATATATATATATTTAGAGAGAGAGAGAGAGAAACTTACCGAAATAATTATCCGTTGAACTAGTTATTTTCTGATTGGCCGATTCATCATCATCAGAAGAAGTTGATGATAACAAAGATGAACATTGTGAGGATAGTTTATCAGACATTGAAATGTGTAGTGTTGTTTGATCATTACTATTATTAATATTATTATGATTACTGCTACTGCTGCTACTACTACTACTACTATTATCATTATTATGAGTAGTATTGTTCACAAAAGCTATTTCTTTAAACGTATAATGCATAAAATGTATAAAAAACTCGTAGAAATTATTAAAACCATAAGTTTGAATGATTTGTATACGTGAGAAAGCATCTTTCAGTAAAATGAACAAACGATTCATGGAATTGTAATATTGATTGTCAGTATCATCGGAATGATCATGATTCAAAGTGACCTAAAATGTAGTCAATAACAACAATGAAAAAACCAACGTGGCATCTATGAGAGAGAAAAAGACAAAGACAAATTGTACAAGTGAATGGTGTTCGTGTTAAATTGCACAAAACCAAAGACTATATATGAATATATATATATATATATATATATATATATATATATATATATATATATATATATATATTATTCATATGATTGTCTGTAACCCGAGTGAGCAACGCTGTTATTAGGAATCGGGTGCTAAGCAAGAATGGCAGATTAATAGATGAAGTGGTGAAACTTCATCAGTTGAGGTGGTTGGGACATGTGTTGCGTATGCCTAACCACCGACTGCCTCGTCGAGCTTTGTTTTGTAGTGTAGGAATAGGTTGGAAGAAAGTTAGGGGCGGCCAAACCAAAGCATGGCAGAAATCTATGAAGTCATTGACGTTTGCAATGGCGCCAGTGCATTTATTCTGTGTTCTCTCAAATCCTAATCTTCTGGATTCTTCAACACCTCGACTTTTGAATTACTAAACTTTTCTCACTGAATCATACTTCTTGAATAGTATCTTCTAACCCTAACCTCTCCGATTACTTCTAATACCCTTACTACCTCTTCTATTAATGGATTTGAATTGACAATTATATCTCTGTGCTGATGTGGTATGGCGACATGAACTGATGTACTTACGTACCAAGTTCTACGTTGCATCTGACTGACTGACTGATTGTCTGTAAAAGGATTGTGATCATTGATGAGTTTCGTTGAAATCATGAATCGACCAATGTTTTGAACTACCATTAGGAACCTGGAATTAATATGTACGACTGTTTCGTCAGTAAGAAAGATTTGATTTTGAACAATTTGGTTTCGTGTGCTGTTACGGGTATGAGGGAGGTTGTCACTTCCCGGCTGCCTACACTATGGAAGGGTTTTCTAGAGAGACTTGGGTGCGTGACCGCAGAGTCCAAGGGACAACTGCTTGATACCGATCACACACGGCCTTTTGAGTATTAGCTCAGCTTTTGAAAGACCTTAGTGGGCACCCTTACCCAAGGAGACGGAAATCCGTGAGGTAGGGTGAGGTATGACATTTTCAGGGTCGACCTTTTCTAACCCTTCCTTCCTTGTGAGAAAGAAGGCAGCATCGCTGCAGATGCTGGTTGTCCGAGGGAAACACCTTACTGCTGTCACACCCCTCTACAGTCAGTCAGCAGTACGACTTCGCCCTCAGACCTTGATCGTTCTCCAATCGACCTGTTTGGCATGGTAGAGAACCTTCAGGAACTTATGTTCGAGCCAGTATAGCTCGGTTGGGTCATCACGATAGGCCACGAAGTCAAAGTGCCAGCTTCGGTCGGGACGACTGTTTCGTTCCGAGATGGGACTCATTAGCAGCGCGTGTCCGCGACTTGCGCCCGCGAAGATCGAACCTAGGACCTTCGGTCTTGCGCATGAGCCTCTAGACCAATCAAGTTGGACATTAACACTGTTAGATGCCGGATCAGGAGTCTAGAGGTTAAGTGTTGTCACCAAAGGCCCTAGGTTCGATTCTTGCTATCGGGAGTCATGGATACAAATTGCTGATGAGTTTCATACCTGGATAAAATAGCCGTCCAGTGCTTCCAGGTTTCTAATGTTTAGTCAATCAGTTACAACGTAAAACTACGTACATGAGTACATAAGTTCAGGTTGCCATAATGCATTAGCACTGAGGTATTAAGAGTATTACTAGTAATGGAGAAGATTAGGGTTCGAAGATATTATTCAAGAAGTATAATTCAGTGAGATAAATTTAGAAAGAGAAAGATAGAGATGATGAAGAATTCAGAAGGTTAGAATTTGAGAGAACACAAAAAGTGGATGCATCTGCGCCATTGTAAACGATTTTCAGCCATGTCGTTCAAGGTACAATATTACCTTTGCAAATCATACGACATCTTAATTCTTTTTTAATGTTAATCTGATTATTACAGTGAATTACAAAGTACACGGTAATTATTTTTAAAATATACAGGTTACTATCAATTAAACTCATTAAAAATGATGATAATCTCATGCATATCTATTAATAACAAGTTGTCAAATATGTGATTCACAAATGAACAACCAATCACATTTAAGATAGCAAGTTGAGAAAAAAAGTATTCATCCATGTAGCTAAACAGTATTTCGTGATGACATCGCATCAACTCTCATTCCTAACCTGTACATACAACTTTAAATCGTATTTCTAATTCTGTACAATCATTAATAACGTTCTTCTGGTTGTGATAAGTAGGTGAATATTCTCAAGGTCACCAGTATGACATCGCTTGAAGGTCATCGATCAATAATCTAGTGTCTCGCTGAAACAGATCTAAATGTTAATTAGATAGTAAATCGATTGCAATGGAACTAATTTTTACAAAAAAAAACAAGTTTATGCATATGAATTGGAATCAAGGCACTTGTGTAAATGATTCATGATAGTACAGTCATATATAGCTAAATTGAAGCAAATAGAATCTAAATTCAAATACGTCACCGATCGACGTAGGACTTCGTACTCATGTACATTATTAGTTCAAGATGCCATCCTATCAAATTACTATACACACAGAGATCTATCTATTCGCCAATTCAAATCTGTTAAAGGTGTTGCGTATGCCTAACCACCTGCCTCGTCGAGCTATGTTTTGTAGTGTAGGAATAGGTTGGAAGAAAGTTAGGGGGGGCCAAACCAAAACATGGCAGAAATCTATGAAGTCATTGACGAGTGGACTTAGCCATGTCGGTAATTGTCGACTACCTGGTTGGGGTCCACGAGATGATAATAATCGATGGTTAGAGACCTTGAATCAATGACATGGATCAAAATCGTTCGCAATGGCGCCGGTGCATTTATTCTTCGTGTTCTCTTAAATCTTAATCTTCTGGATTCTTCAACACCTCTACTTTTGAATTACTAAACTTTCCTCACTGAATCGTACTTCTTGAATAGTATCTTCTAATCCTAACCTCTCTGATTACTTCTAATACCCTTACTAACTCTTCTACTATTGGGTTTGAATTGACAATTACATCTCTGTGTTGATGTGGTATGGCGATATGAACTGATGTACTGACGTACGAAGTTCTACGTTGCACGTGACTGACTGACTGACTGTTAAAGGTAGAGGTAGTAGAAGTATAAGCAGTAATCGGAAAGATTAGGGTTCGGATATTATTATTATTATTATTATGTAAGAAGTTTAATGCAGTGAAATAAACTTAAAAATAAGAAAGATAAAAGTGATGAACAATTCTGAAGGGTAGGATTTAAGAGAAGAAGACAAAGAACGAACGATTTTGAGCTATGTCGTTCAAGGTCACTAACTATCGTGGATTCCAACCTGGTAGTTTACATCTACAATAATGGCTCAATCCAATTGTCAGTGACTTCATGGATTTGTGCCATGTTTTGGTCTGATCTCCCCTAGCCTTCTTCCAGCGTACCCCTATACCATAAAACATTACTCGTCGAGGCAGTCGGTGATCAGGCATCTGTAGCACAAGTGCCAACCATCTCAACTGATAAAGACTCATTACTTCATCAACTGATTTTCTATCCTTACCTAGTACTCGTTTCCTAACAACAACAACAACAACACTGCTTACTCAATAGACCCAGGATATACACGAGCAATGTTTCTAAGACACCTATGATGGAAAACCAGTGACCTACTAATATCGTCGCTTCTCACTGATGATGTTTCACAGCCATAGAGTATGAATAGGAGAGAAATACTGTGCAGGACACTTGTCCTTTCGTTAGCAGACGGATATCTCGCCTACGCCATACATGACATAAGTTGGCAAAAGACAATTGAGCCTTTTTCATGTTAACTAAACACAACTGAACAAAAAATTTAAATTGATAATCAACTAAAAACATTTGTACAATATTCAAATCGCATGTATACATCATACACTGAATAACCAACCTACCACTGTATTTGGTGGTATCAATTCAATTAAAACAATCATTGGCGGTAAAATCAAAGAACGTAATTCATTGATATCATCTTGCAAATGAATCTTTATATCATTAGTCATATTGATATTCTTTTGATTCACAGAAAATATTGTTTGTATCACTTTATTGATAAATGAAATACTTAATGTAATAAAATGTTTGTTTTTTGAATCACTGTTTGAATATTGAACATTGATCAATGAATCATTGAATAAATTCTGATTAAACTGAATCATCATTGGTGGATTTGACCATGATGGTGAACGAGAAATTAAAATGAGATAAGCTAATAATTGCCAAATTAATTTGATTTCGTTCAAAGTCTATGAAATCATAAAGAAACGAGAGAGAGATAGAGAGAGAGAGGAAGAAGATGAACCGGATGAAAATGATGTTACAACAACACATGAATTATGACTGGTAAGATGGTGGTGGTATTTTGTCCAATATGCATGTAGTACCTCCACATACATTTGAGTTTGTTCATAGTTATGTTGATTAAACCTTTTGATTAACATCTGTATAGCAATAACTTATATTGCCGGGGTAGTATGAGCTGATACGAATGAACATTGCTAACCGCCTAGGCGCATATTTATACTTAAATTATCACATTTCACTTACTTACTTACTTACTTACTTACTTACTTACTTACGCCTGTTACCCCCAATGGAGCATAAGCCGCCGACCAGTATGCCCCAACCTACTCTGTCCTGGGCTTTCTTATCCAGTCCTGTCCAATTTGTGTTCATCCTTTTCATGTATTTCTCTATTTGTCGGCGTAATGTGTTCCGTCGCCTTCCTTTTCTCCTTTGATCTTGAGGGTTGTCTTGTGACGCAGTTGGGTGCTTCTCACAGTGAGTTCTATCCACTTCTAGAACTTCTTCCTGATTTCCTCCCACGCTGGAATCTGGGTTTGTTCTCTCCCACAGTACGTTGTTGCTGATGATGTCTGGCCTACGGTTCCAAAGTATCTTGTGTAGATAACTGTTAATAAACACTTGTATCTTCTGGATGCTGGCTTTAGTAGTGCTCCAAGTTTCCGCCCCATACAGTAGAACTCTCTTGACATTTGTATTGAAAATCCTGATTTTGGTGTTGATCAATGTTTGTTTGGAGTTCCAGATAGTTTTCGATTGTAGAAATGCAACCGTTGCTTTGCCGATCCGCGTCCTCAAATTCGCATCGGATCTACTTTGATTGCTGATGATGTTGCCCAGATATGTAAAGGTGTTAACATTCACATTTTCCTGTGTATATATACATGTACATTTTAATCCTACTTTTTCATCCGATAACTCGTTCATTCGCTTGCTTGCCTTTCGGCACTGGCACTGCCTTCTCTCACAAGGAAGGAAAGGGTTAGAAAAGATCGACTCTAAAAATGACACACTTAACTTTACCTCACGGATTTCCGTCTCCGGCAGTAAGGGCTTTTAAACAAGAGCTGAACTAACACTTTACAAACTTCTCATAAAACGGCCATGTATGACTGGCCTCAAGCAGTCGTCTCTCAAACTCCCAGGTTTCTAAGACCAACATTAATCTAATTTCTTTTTCAGATTCTTCAAGAAAACACCCTCCTAGGGTGTGGGCAGCCGGGAAGTGACAACCGCTCTAATACCCGTAAAAGCACATGAGTCTGTAGTGCCTCCACATTTATTTGCATCCGCTTACAAGTCCGAATTACCATTACTATTATCAGTACACGTTAGTAGTAGTTATTGTAATTTAATATGAATGCAACAATTTACTGCATTTAATTTTAAGAAAATACAAACAATTCAATTATCAAAGTTCATGGTTAAGAACAGAAACACACACACACACATACATACCATACATAGTTCGTAAAATAAAAATATTTACCTTTGAATTCAATGTGTTCAATAACAATAATTCTTCTGATTCATTTAAAATATCCAAGAATAAATCAACTGTAGAATTAATCAAACGACTTTGTAACAATGCATATTCTTGAATTATTGATAATTGAACAGGATCATTGGAAAAAATCGTTGAAAAATGATGCGATTGAACAGTTAAAATATTTTTCACCAAACATCTATAATAATAATAATAGTAAAACAAACATATAAATAGATTTTTTTCAGTAATATCGTTCTAAGGTTGTGAAGAGTGTTGACTCTCATTGAAATCATGAATTGATCAATGTTACACACAGTCAACGGACACCCAGAAGCACTGGATGGCTATTTTGTCCAAGTACGGCCAGTCAGTCAGTTACAACGTAGAACTTTGTACGTACGTACATCAGTTCAAGTTGTCATACCAAATCAGCACACAGAGATCAAATGGTCAAGTCAAATCCCATAGTAGTAGAGGTGGCAGAAGTATTAGCCATATTTTACAACCATAAGGTAGGATAGAGTGAAATGCTGTGAAGTACATTCGTCCTTTGGTTAGCAGACCGATACCTTGCCTAGTTTATAAGTGACGCAGATTAGCAAAAGCCAATCGAGCTTTCTGTATCCGCTCTGAAATGTTGTCACACACCAGGCCATCAGCACTGATGAAACTCCGAGTCCGAATACGGGACATGTTGTGGTGGTGTTTCGTTCACTGAGCTGGATATTTAGATTGTGAAGCTTTCATTGGTCTTCTGAACAACGTCATTAGCACAATTTATCAAGCATTCAGAAAAATCACAGGTGAAATAGCATCAAGAAACAGATCAAAAGGGTGATACAATCAAAATAAAGGTGCAAACAACGACAGGTCAAAAGTCAACAGCAACCAATCAAGATAGAGGTTAGCAGAACAAGCTATAGGTCGAACATGGAGAAATTCGAATACTTCACTTCTGCTATCTGAAGTTTGTGCTGATGATAATATTGTTCAGAAGAAGAACAATGAAAGCTTCACAATCAAAACAACCAGCTCAGAGAACGAAACACCACCACAATCATTCACCTGAGCTAAAAATCTTCTCCACGGGACTTCTTAGCAGTGCGAATCCACGACCCTGCAAGTGGGAATAGAACTCAGGACCTTCGGTCGCATGCGCGAAAGCTTAATCACTTGACTACTACTAATACTAATGAATGCAAGTAAACTCTGTTTATATAGATACCGCTTAAGCTATAAAAAATATTATCAAGCACAGACGTTTGCCTCTGTAATCACACATTTGCACGTCGTTAAAACAACAACAACTGACCAAGTTTTCATTTTATATACTTCAACAAGCAGTATCAGATCTTTCTAAATTACAAATAGCATGAAACATAGATATGAACTTTCCTATTGATTGATATTTAACTACTCAATTGTGATTTAAGGTTAGAAATCATATTTCAACGTGGTCAAAATATTCATCCAATAAGTAAAAGAAGAATATCATATGTTCAATAGTGACTAGCTTCGTGAGAAAATTCTATTGAAAGGCTGTAATCAATGGAGATCAACTGTGTCGGGTGTGAGACAATTACCCCCCCCCCGGAAGACAATGAATGCTGGTCGTACAATATCGTGCATTGATTCAAATTAACGATTAGCACCATTGGGTGACGGCTCAATAGTTGAGAGTTTAAGCGTTCATTTTCATAATTCAGTCGACCACCGGGAGAAATATTACTATATACCTACTGTGGTGTGAGCTACTTATAAGTAGTATATGACGTGAGTGTCAACGTAATGTCTGGCAGCAGAAGATGGGGGAAGATCAAGAAAGGAAGAGTTAGAAAACAATGGAATTTGTATGAAACGCATGAATAAAGACAATGGATTGATGTTTGGCAACAGGAATAGTCCAGTTCGATATGATGAACTGATCTTTTGCAAACGAACAATTTACGATATGGTTTTCCGATTTTACTGAGTAACTCTGTAATTTTCGTTAAATACAATTCGGTTGCCCCACCTGTGTTCTCGTTCACTACACTACCCTGTTTCAATTGAACTGATAATTGACTATGCAAACGTAATTTAATTACACATGTTACAAAGAGTAGAAGTAAAAATAAACCACTAACTACTACATGACATTCAATTCTAACCTTGCTTATTGATCTTTCTTCAACTGAAAAGTTATTTTTATATACTCGTCCTATTTTGTCTATAAACAGTCATAGAATTGATTCTCTAATAGGTATCTATTGGGGGGGGGGGCTTAGTCAATCTGTACTTTTGTCTTCTGTAATAAGTTCACTTTCATTAGCAAATGTTCAGCCAATCTTCATTCAATTTTTTGTTATCAGTTACCTTGTTTAAATGAATCCGTAAGTTTAGTGTTTATAAGGACATTCATAGACAGTTAGTCAGTTACAATGTAGAACTTAGTACATCAGTTCAAGTTGGCATATCACATTCGCACAGAGACACAACTGTCAGTTCAAATCACATAGTTGTAGAGATAGTAGAATTATTAGTAGCAATGGAGAAGATTAGGATTTGAAGATAATATTTAAGAAGTATAATTCAGTAAGATATGGTTAGAAAGAGAAAGATAGAGATGATGAGGAATTCAGGAGATTATAATTTGATGCATCTGCGCCATTACAAGCGATTTCGAGCCATGTCCTTCAAGGTCTCCAACCATCAGTTACTTTCGTCTGACGGATCCCGACCAGGTAGTATGCATCTACCAACATGACTCAGTCACTGACAAATGGATTGAGTCATATTGGTACATACCTGTAACAGCAGACGAGACCAAATTGGTCACAATCAAATCCTTCCTATACCGCCTAACTCCCTCTTATCAGGAACATCCATAAGAAACTGATTTTCACGAATTCATCACTCTACAACACTGACAAGTGGTTTTTAACTGAACAACATGCTGAATATTTTTTTCCCTCGTTTCATAACATCATAATTTCAGCCTATGACTTTAAACATGTAAAGATTAAAAAACCAAAGTAGTACATAACACTAGAATTATTGAACAATTGAACAAGAATTTTTTACCTTAACAAGAAATATGAATGTTTTACAATTTTTCTATTGAATATCATATCAATTAAATCATTGTATACTTTCCAATTAGTCATGCTGAAATCATCTTCTACATGAAATAAACGAATTTTCGCTCCAATCAAATTGGTCGATAATTCCAACAAATCTTCAATACATGTAGAATTATCCATTGTATCGATCTCATTCGGCGGAATCAGATCGATTTCATGTAACAACATTGGAGTTAGTACATAACTTATTAAATAATCTGTTAATGCGCTATTCTCATTACAGGAAGACGCAGAAGAATTCACCTCTAACTGATCATGATGATGTTGACATAATTGACGCAGAAATGTTATTCTTAACATGGATGATTTTGATTGATTTGTTGTTAATTGATATAAAATTTGTTTTAATGCATTAAATTTATGATTTTTAATTAAATCAATTAAAAATAGATAAATAATATCAAAATATAAAAAATAATGATCATTATTTAAACAATTAGAAATGGCGGGTAATATTACAAAATACAATTGAAACAATTGATCAAGCATCCATTGAACACATTGATCATTGAACAAATATGTCGAAGACATCGATACGACATGACTATGCATAAATTGTAACCATAAATAATACAAACAAGACAAATTTCGAACAGTAGTGTTATTGACAAGTGAAATTGTTTGTTCAGATGATGTAACAAAGCAATGCAATAAAACAAGTAAATAAGGAAATTGTTTATTGTTGATATTTGAATCAATGTCCAATGGTTTATGATGATGATGATGATGATGATATAATAAGCGTTGATCAAGATGATGTAGTTCATGAAATAAACTTAACAAATAAACCCGCCACCAATCGTTATGATGATGATGATGATGGCGATGAGTACCGCGAAAATCATCATGAATACATAATTCATAATTTGTAAATTGTAAACTTTTTAAAAATCTATTCATTTCATCATGCCACCACCACCAACAACAACATTGATGATTGTCAACAAAGAGAATTTGAGCATTCACGTCGATTAGATATGTGAGAGTATGAATTGCGGCTAATTTTATTGAAAGATATTTAAAAGAATTATTTCCAGTGGAATATTGTTGATTAAATAATTTCTTGTTGAAATTTAACAATATATTATTATCATCAGCCATGATAGAATTGACATTTGAATATTTCCAATAATTATTCAAACAATCATGTATCATTGAACAATTTTCTTCATAAATCAATAACGCTGCTGCTGCTACTTCTACGAAGTGAGAATTATGTCTGGAATTTTGAAAAAAAAAAGACATCAGTCAAATATAGAAAGATCCATTCACCTTATCAGTCAGTTGCAACGTAGAACTACGTACGTATGTTCATGTTGCCATACAATCACATTAGCACAGAGATACAAATTTCAAATCAAATCCCATAGTGATAAAGATAGAAGGGGGAATTAATGGTCATGAAGAAGACTAGGGTTTGAAGATATTATTCAAGAAGTATAATTCAGTGAGATAACATTAGGAAGACAAAGGTAGAGAAAGTGCTGACGAATCCAGAAGATTAGGATTTGAGAGAGCTAAACGAATGGATGCACTTGCGCCATTGCAAACAATTTTGAGCCATGTTGTTCAAGGTCTCTAACCATGGGTGACCTTCGTCTCGCGAACCCCAACCACGAAGCTTACATCTACCAGTCATTCAGTCAGTCCAATTATCAGTGACTTCATAGATTTCTGCCATGTTTTGTTCTAGCCGCCCCTAGCTTTCTTCCAATCTACTCCTACACCAAAAAACATAGCTCGTCGAGGCAGTCGGTGATTAGCCATACGTAACACATGTCCCAACCACCTCAAATGATGAAGTTTCACCACTTCAACCATTGATCTGCCATTCTTACCTAGCACCCGATTCCTAATAACAGCATTGCTTACTCGGGTGTCCCACGGTATACGAGCAATGCTTCGAAGACACCTATGATCGAAAACCAGTAACGTACGAATATCTTCTACTCTCAATGGCCATGTTTCACAGCCATAAAGTAGGACGAAGTGAACTACTGAGCAGTACACTCGTCCTTTGATTAGCGAACGGATATCACGCCTACGCCATTAGTGACGCAGGTTGGCAAAAGCCAATCGAGCTTTCTGTATCCGTGCTGAGATTTCGTCAGTCACCAGGTTATCAGCGCTGATGAGACTCCCCAGATAAGTGAAGTGATCACTTGAATGATCAATGATGGAATGTTATGTGCAACAATGTGAAAACAAAGCTGGTTGTTAAAAATTAATGAAAAGTATACTGTTACGCCTACATGTAAACACGTCAACTTGATATGCTTGAACTATTATTACGAGTTTGCCTTAGTCGGAAAACAAGAGCGAGGATCGAGGATCCGGTGACACGATATGCTACACTAATCCAACGATTATCCCAACCCCCATATTGAGTAAAAGAAGACAAGACTTGATATGAAGTAGAACCTGTATTCTACAAGCATCCAGAAAGTACAAGGTCCGAATCCAGAAGAGAATCAGGATCCCGGACTAGGGATCCGGGACCGGACCCTGGTCAAATAGAATACACCATCGAAGTTTGTGACAGTGACAGTTAAGACGACCAATAAGAAACAACATTGGAGCGCGTGACATTGATATCTAGGACGAACATAAAAATTGACCAGTAGGATTTAACCAATAGGAATTGATCAATAATTCTTTTATGATAATATTGGATATTGAATATCCTAACATAAACACAATAAGTACCCTGGTCCTCCTACCAAATGGTATTAATGTATTTTTCAAGATTATTGGCGATGGAATTATGTTCTTCAGTGTATACAGTATTCAACTTAAATAGGTCATTATATTTAGAAATTCTCATGCACACAAGTCAGTCAATTCATCATCGACAACCAAGTTATAACCGATCAATGATCAATTTTTTATTGTTACTACTAAGAATAAGAACAAAAAATAAAATGTAAGTTCATTTATCAGCTATTAAAAGCAAATAATTTTTTACTTTTTTATAAAGGCATAAATACAAAATGAGTTCAAGTTGTTTATATAAAAACAGTTTAACTTGAATAAGTTTTAAACACATAGCACATTATGTCAAAGTATAGTATGGGTATAGTATAACATAGTATAGTGTAGTGTAGAGTGTAGTATGTGGCATAGTATATGACAATAAGAATATAAATAAATTTGACGGACTAGACTTTGCCTGGAGTCCCTCTGAGGATGCTGCCGGTCCCAAGTCCGAATGAAGAAGGAGGGTTGTGTGTAGGGTTAGCGACCTCATCATGCAGAAAACCGACTCGCTAAAAACGCTAACTGGGAAACATAATTCAAAGCATTTTAACTCCACCCTAGGAGTTAGGTCTTCCTTCAGAACAGTTATGACGTCTCATAATGAAAGCCGAGTTCTTTCGGTTGATTCCCCTTCCGATAACCAGAGCAATCATTCTTTTAGGTACAAAGAATGTTCAAACAATGTTCCAAATTGCATTGACGACCAAGGTGGATCTGATGCATATGTGAAGGCACGAATTGAGAAAGCAAGGACAGCATTTCTACAATTGAACAACACCTGGAACTCTAAACAATCATCAGTCAACACCAAAATCAGAATTTTAAAAATTAATATGAAGACAGTTCTACTGTTTGGGGCAGAAACTTGGACAAATACGAAAGCCATCATCTACAAGATACAAACAAGTGTTTATGAACAGTTGTCCACGCAAAATACTTCGGATTCGCTGAGCAGACACCATCAGCAACAACCTGTTGTGGGAAAGAATAAACCAGATTCCAGTGGAGGAATAAATCGGTGAGAAGTGCTGGAAGTGGATAAGACATACATTGCGGAAAGCACCCAACTGAGTCACAAGACAAGCCTTCACATGGAACCCTCAAGGTCAAGGGGAAAGAAGATGACTAAGAAACACTTTACGCCGAGAATTAGACAAAGACACGAGAAAAATGAACAAACATTGGACGGAACTGGAAAGGGAAGCCCAGGAGAGAGAAAGTTTGAGAATAGTAGTCGGCTGCCTATGCTCCACTGGGAGTAACAAGCATAAGTAGTAAGTAGTAGTAATAATAATGATAAAGTAAGCTTCGCATAGCCAATTAAAATAAGATTATGGATCGTGGGATGAGTCGTAAATGATATGTAATGATGTATTCAACTAAAAGAAACAGTTAAACACAATTTTATGATACAACAAAGAACTCCTCATGAAGTTAGTCACTAAAGAGCACAAGAATAAATATGATTGCGCAACATCCCAAGGTGATTGATTCAAGTCAGACATTAAAACCGTTTAGTGCCAGCTCATTCATATGTGATATCGAAGGTCCTGAGTATAATTCCCACTTGTGGGGTCGTAGGTGCGCACTAAATATATATATATATATATTCATGGTCAACCAACATGCCTGCTGCACAAGCACATCGCTGCGTTGATATACAGCGCAAGGATTCTCACTGTTGCCAACAGTAATCACCCCTGCCCCTTGCGGGAACATACATGCTGTCCGGTCTGGTCTGCAGACAAGTTGGACATCCAAAAAGCACGCACACGAGCAGTGCCCCCTGCACGGGCATTTAGGAATCAAGAAATCCCACCAACCAAACCACAGCCCACAATCCCCAATCGGCGAGGGCGGCAAGGCGGGCTTATCCTTCCGGACAAGGCACCCCGTTGCAGATTACCGAGCCACCCAAGCAGTGCACTAACCAACAGCCATTCCAACCGTCTGGCCTCCAACTGCCTTGCGTTGATACAATCGATCGAGGCCCTCTGAACCCCACATAAAGCTAAAGATCGAGTTTGTCCCACAAGGTCAGCTAGAACGTACACCTTTCCATGAGGAAGATGTCATGGACTCGACCAAACGCAAGCGCTCAGCCAAGCAGTGTTCATCCCACAGAAGTGGGCATACATCATTGGTGTTCAGTACCCTTTCAGCACTAAAGCACCGGAACCCAACTGGAGGCCCTTGTTTAAGGGGCCTTGACGCCAGTTCACACACTACATCGGGTGCAGCATGTAAGGGACAACACATAGGGTCGGCGTCAGTAGTCCAGGATGTCTGCGGCTACTTCCCCAAACATAGCGTCCAGGGCCGCCCTCGATCATCCTACTACATCCCTTTCGAGAATTTACCTACGCCTGAAGGACGGGATTCAGACCTAGAGTCGTTCAGTCTTAATCCCCCAGACTGGTCAGACGCATCCACAGCCTTGCGACCATGAGCGTGCCATTTATCCGGACCATGCTTAGCACGGTATCCTAAGCGATCGGAACGACTTTAGCCGCAGCGATGTATCCGCCGCCACGTTGCCTGGCGGGACTACGAAGAGGTAGTCGCCACCACAACCCCGTCAAAGGCACCAATATTGGTCAACCCGAGGCCACCTCAGGCATTCTAAGGCTACGCCCCTCATATGACGAGGCATTTGGCTACCTTAAGAGAGTCATAGTTACTCCCGCCATACATATATATATATATAACCTTTAGAAAATAGTTTCAATTTTTTTCTCTCATAGGTAAATTGTATCTCACAGTATTTACCACCTGTAGTTTTGTGGATGGGAGAGTTTTCACCGTAGCTGCTACCTTGACGTGGTGGTCGGGCTTGACTATCGTCATGACCCAACCGAGCTATATTGGCTGGAACATATGTTCCTCAAGGTTCTACCATGCCAGGCAACTCGATTGGAGAACGATGAGACTAAAAGCAACTACTCAAGGTCTGAGGGCGAAGTCGTACTGCTGACTGACTGCAGAGGGGTGTGACAGCAGTAAGGTGTTTCCCTCGGACAACCAGCATCTGCAGCGATGCTGCCTTCTTTCTCACAAGAAAGGAAGGGTTAGAAAAGGTCGGCCCTAAAAATGTCACACCTCCCCTAACTCACGGATTTCCGTCTCCTTGGGTAAGGGTGCCCACTAAGGGCCTTTAAGAACGGAGCTAATCCTCAAAAAACATTTGATAAAAAGGCCGTGCGTGACCGGCCTCAAGCAGTTGTCCCTTGGGCTCTGCGGCCACGCACCAACACTAATCTATCTTCCTTTTCAGGTCCCTCAAGAAACAACCTTCCATGGTGTGGGCAGCCGGGAAGTGACAACCGCCCTCATACCCGTAACAGCACGCGAGACCAAATTGGTCAAAATCAAATCCTTCCTACATTCCCTAATACCTCTCTTATCTCCACGACTAACTCTTCTCACATTCATTCATCGCAATGCACAGCTAATGCAGACGAT